GTGTGTGGCTCCTCCAATTTAAGAGGTTAGTTGTACTGAAAGGCTGGTAATAGAGGGTAGACTGGCCGGGCTGGACTGTGTGGTCAGCAGCAATCTTCCAGGGCCCTTGCATCTCACAGAGCGGCATTTGCAGGGCCCTGTCCTGACATGCTGGCACCTGGGATGAGTGAAGGCAGTGGCTCAGGGACTGTAGACTCAGACTCCAAGCCAGAGAAGGGTGTGGGACATCGCTGTGGCTGGGAGGCTGCTGATGGGGCTGAGGGGAATCACTGAAGGTGGCAGACTGTCTGGGAGAAGGCACTGGCTGCTCTGATAGTGTCAGCTCTCTGGGAATGTACGGCAGGGGCACAGGGGGTTCATCTTCTGGGTCTCCTTGCAGAACAGGCTTGGTCAGCTTCTGGTCTTTGGGCTTCATTACCTGAGCCATGAAAACTCTGTTCTGTCCCTTTTTATTTGCACAGAATTGGACCAAAGGTGGCATGGTCTGAGCCACCTGAAGCCAGGAGTCAATATAGCAGAAACTGATTGGGTGTCTGGGGGTTCCTATTATGATCCGATAAATGGCCCTGCCAGTGGGCAAATCTAGGGTACCTTCAGGGGTCCAGTTGACCCCAAAAGTGGGCCACTCCAACTCACACAGTGTGCACAGCCTTCCACGAGACACTTTGATCCCATAATCCCCTGAGGATCCCTTCTTAAAACGTTTAAGCACACACTCTCGGACTGTGGGTTTTGAGGAGCTTCCGCCCGAGGCAGTTAGAGATGTCCTCCATATCCACCTTATCTATCCCCCCTGCATCGTGGCACAAAGACAAACAAGGGTGGGTGCCCCTTCAAGAGAAGAGACCTATCAGATGTCTGCCTGGCTGTGTCCTGAAGGAACTTGGGTGCCTCCTAGCATCAATGGCGGGGTCAGCCTTGTGACCCTGGATCGGGTTCCCCCCGATGCTGCCCTAAGCCGGATGAGGATCACCATGGAACCACAGGACAGACCCACTCACACTCCGTAGCCTTCAGCTGTGGAACCACAAACTCGAGCCTGAAGCGAGGATGAATGAGGCTGCTCATTCACACACACACACTCGCACCAAAAGTTATTACAGTTTTTCCTTAATCCCTTTTGGGGAAGTCTCTGACCTGCAGAATTCCTCTTGGAGATTCCCGGGAGTTGATCAGACTCCCCTTCCGCCCAGTGGGATGAGACCTTACTGAGGGCTGACTTTCCCTCGGGGGCTTACTGGTCCACTTCTCTTTGGAGTTCAGTCAGGCAAGACTACTCAGAGGGTTGGAACTCCTGGGTGAAGGAGGACCCCAGAATACCTTTGGGTGGCGGGCCACCTCATTCAGTCCTGAGTCCCTCCCTACTCCAGTGCAGTCCAGCCACCGCCTGGTGGCTCAAGGGGCCAAAATGGTTGGTATCTCACTGGGGCCTCCAGAAATGTTGTGGAAATATTGTCAGACGAGAAACCAAGCAACACTCAGAGAGGTAGGAGAACTCGGATTTTTATTTTATTTTATACAAGTGGTCCCAGATGAGCTAGTACTGAAAATTCTGGGCCCCCAGCTGTGAAATCACAGGATTCTTAAAGGGCTGTGCAGGGGATCAGATTACAGGAAATGTGCTGGTTGCTAATAGGTGGGCTCACACTGGGGTTAGGGACCCAAGGTTGTTTGGGTAGGAGCAGCAGGGGGCCTGTTTCAGAAAGTCTGCTTAGAGAGGGAGACAAAGGCAGGAAGGGGCAGCAGGGGATCTATAGAGGGAAATCTGCTTGCAGAAGGAGACAAAGGAAAGGCGGGAATGGTCAGTTATCTCTGCCTGGGCCCTTTTATCTTGCCCCTGGACTCATTTTATGGCTTAACTGGCAATTTCTTGTGTCTGCTTTGAGGCAATTTCCTATGCAGCTCAGCCTGTAATCCTAGCTACTTGGGAGGCAGAGATCAGGAGGATCATGGTTCAAGGCCATCTCAGGCAAAAAGTGAGACCCTGTCTCAAAAATACCCAATACAAAAAAGAACTGGTGGGGTGGCTGAAGTGGTAGAGCTCTTGTAGGACTGTGAGTTCAACCCCCAGTACTGCCAAAAATAAATAAATAAATAAATAAATAAATAAATAAATACACAGAATCCAGATTGGAACCGGGAGAGGTTGAAGTGGAGGATGGCCTCGAGCTAGCCCTGGACAGGGTTCTTTCCCCAGGCCTCAGCAGAGGGCCTGAGAGGTGGGAGGGGCTGCAAACTTCCTTTCAGATAAACTGCTTAACAGGCTTAATATATCTTTTTTTAATGTACATAACTTACATTTTTATCTGCAGTACTGGGCTTTGAATCTTTTGAGCCATGCTCCCAGCTCTTTTTGCTTTGGTTATGTTTTGAATAAGTTCTCCTGTTTATGTCTGGGCCAGCCTATTTATGCTTTCCTAGTAACTGGGGTGACAGGTATGTGCCCAGCTTCTGTTGGTTGACATGGGGTCTCATGAACTTTTCACCCAAGCTGTCCTCACACTGCCATCTTCCCACTGTCCACCACAGAGTGGTTAGGATTACAGGCATGAACCACTGTGCCTGGTGCTAACTTAGCATCTTGAATGCAGGAAGTTGCAAAATTGATAACGCCCCTGTGCCTTTCTCTCGGCTTCCCCAATAGCCATGCCTTATGCACCTGTAGTACAGCTGCTTGACAGGGCAAGTGTCCATGGATGCCCTGTGCGGGTCACATTCTCTGTCATTGCACTCCACTGCATCCAGTGCCATCAAGTTACATTTGTCCTTTATCTGCAGAATGTGTGTTTCATGACCCCCAACAGACACCTGAAACTGAGGACAGTACCAAACCCTGTGTATGGGGCACAGGACCTTGCACATGTTCAGCAGGAGCTCTACCACTGAGTCACACCCCCATTAAACTCTCCATCCTCCTGCCTCAGTTTCCTGAGTGCCAGGGCTACAGGTGCAGCCACCACACCCAGCTTGTACTGTTTTTGTGGTTGTTTTGTTGTTTTTCAGTACTGGGGTTTGAACCCAGGGCCTACACCTTGAGCCACTCCACCAGCCCCTTTTTTGCATTGGGTATTTTTGAGATAGGGTCTTGCAAACTATTTGCCCAGGTTGGCTTCGAACCATGATCCTCCTGATCTCTGTCTCCTGAGTAGCTGAGATTACAAACGTGAGTCACTGGTGCCTGACTGTGCTGTTTTTTAATGTACATATATGCCTGTGATAAAGTTTAAGTTGTAAATTAGGCACAGTAAGACACTGAGAACAAAAGCTAATAATAAAAAGAATGATAATAATCACTATAATAATTGCAATAATAATCACTGTAATAAAAGTGACATGAGTTCTATCTGTTGTCTATCTCTCTCTGTATCTAACTGTCCATCTATCTCTAGCTGTCTTACTGTACTTTTCACCTTTTCAGTTCTCTCTGGCGTTTCCAAATTGCCACAATCACTACCCTTGTGTTTTGGTAAAATGAGTTACTTGAACCTGACCTCTGTGATCCCATGACAACTGTTCTGCTAAGACAGCTACTGAGTGGCTAGCATTTGGGTAGTACGTACAGGGTAGGAATGCTGGATGTGGGAATGTCACATCTAGATGGGCCACCGTGGGCTGGCGTGGGCCGGCATGGGCTGGCGTGAGATTGCATTGCACTACTCAGAATGGAATACAACTTAAAACTTATACATTGTTTACTTCTGAAATTTTCATTTAATATTGTTGGACTACGGATCACTGGAGGTCAGTGTAAAAGTACCAAAGGTGAAATCACAGATGAGGGGATGTTGGAATTGATAACCCTCTGGTGCCGAAAACAGACACACAAGAGACAGAAAATCTTGACAAGGCAATTTCTCCTGATCAAGAGGGTGCAAGCATGTGCTCACTCCTACTAAGCAACACGCAAGCACAAAATGGCTGACAGTGGCTCCTCCTTATATCCCTGATACTGTTGTACCTGCCCCTCACCTGGGATTTGCAGGTCAGAGGTTCACAGTCTTTCCCAATTGGATAAAAGGCTTGGGGGATGGGTTAGGGCATGCAGTTTGGTGGGCAATGGAGTTGTACAGGAATCTGGAAGAAGAAGCAAGGACCCTTTAAACATGTAAAGTTGCTTAAGATGGTGACCTGAGGAATTTTTAAGTAATCTAAGAGGGTAACAAATACTTTGATAGAAAAGATCATTTTTTCTTACAGGGAGCTACTGCACTGAAGTGTCCCATCTCCACAAGGCTTTCCCTCACGCTGCCCTTCAATAGCCACAGCCAACCTCCCTGGCCCCACTCCATCTTTATAATTTTATCATTTCAAAAATGTATGTGAATGCAGTTATGCAGTGTGTACTCAGCAAAATTCACAGAGATACATTGAATTTGTTGTGTGCATCCACAGCTCACTCCTTTTGACTGCTGAGTAATATTCCATGATATCAATGCAGCACAATTTGATGGTTTCACTTTTTGACTATTAGAGACAAAGTTCTGCCAGGCACAGTGGCAAATACCTGTCATCCTGGCTCCTCAGGAGGTCAAGGCAGGAGGATCCCTTGAGCCCAGGACTTCAGGGCCATGGAGCTCTGTGTTGATCAGCTGTCTGCAGTAAGCTAGGCATTAGTGTGGTGACCTCTTAGAAGCAGGGGATCACCAGGAGCCTAAGGAGGGGTGAGCTGGCCCATGGAGAACATAACAGGTCAAAACTTGCATGCAGCTGAGACGTTGCTCAGTGGTAGAGCTCATGCTTAGCATACACACAGCATTCTCAACAGCCAAAACAAAAATAATAACAACAAACTCATGTGCTGATCAGTAGTGGGGCCATTCACACGTGCACCAGCCTGGGCTACAGAGTAAGACGTTGTGTCTAAAGCAATGAGAGTGGGAAAGGAACCACAGGGAACCAGGGCTTGTAGGAACAGTCGTGTGCAGGAGTCACATAAGATGGCCAGGGCCAAGATGTGTCTGCTGGCACCTCTGACAGCTTTGTGTTCTGCTGTTTCCCAGGAGATGCACAATACCGTTTTTGCATACATGCATGGAGAAGACCTATCTCAGACCCACATATATTTCTCAGATAACGGAGGATACAGTTTTGACAGCTATTCCCCTGGAAACCAGGTATGTTCCATTGAGTGGGAATGTGAAAATAAAAATGTACATACATGCCTGTGCTCCCAGCTGCTGGGAGGCTGGGGCGGGGGGATCCCTTGAGCCCAGGAGTTTGAGGCCAGCCTGGGCAGCTTAGCAAAGTGCTGTCTCAGAATATTCAGCCAGATGTGATAGTTCACACCTGCAACGCTAGCTACTTGGGAGATTGAGATCAGGAAGGATCTTGGTTCAAGTCCAGCCTGGTCAAAAAGTTTGTGAGACCCCATCTCAACCAACAGCTGGGAACAGAGGCTGTACAGGAGACTCCCAAGTGGGAAGTTGAGTTCAAACCCCAGTGCCACACACACATACATGCACACACACCATGCAACTACATCCTCCTGAGTAGGAGGGAACCCTGTACCCTCACATGGCCACAGGGAAAGGAATGGAAGGGCAAGAAGGGCAAAAACTGTGTCCTCACATGGCAGGATAGAAGAGCAAACTTCAAGCTTGATCTTTTTTAATAAGGGCAATGTTGTGATTTGGGGCTGAAATGTCCCCAGTTCAGAGGTGAGGCCTTTGTAGAAGGGCATGTGGCGTATGCCTGTCATCACAGCTACATAGAAGACATAAATAGGAGGGTGCCCGGGAAAGGCCAGCTGGGGAAAAAAAAAAAAACCCTCAAGAGCCTATCTGAAAAATAACTAAAGCAAAAGGTGGGAGAGTGGCTCAAATGGTACAGCACCTGCCTACTAGGTATGTGAGACCCCGAGCTTAAACCCCAGCACTGCCTGATATAAGGGGCAAGCTGATTCCCCATATCAGGTGTACACAATTTATAGAATCCTATGACCACCCTCCAAAACCCTCTGAGTTGTTTGAAGGTTCTGGGGCCCAGAAATGAGAGAAAGGGCTGTAGACTGCCCTCGGGTTCCCTTATTGATAATAAGACCCAGATGTTTAATGGCCTCTTGTAAAATTTGTGCTTTCTTCCTGGAAACCCTGTACTCTCTATCAACCAGAACATTGAGTAGGGCCGAACTCCCAGTTTGGGAGTCCTTATCAGTCTGTGCACAAAGGAGTATGTCATCCACATATTCTGTCACTGAGAATTTAGGGTCCTGAAATGCTGCCAGATCCCTAGCCAGGGCTTGACCAAAAAAGTGAGGGCTATCTCTCAGCCTCTGGGCGGGGACAGTGCAGGTGACTTGGACGGCCTGGTTGGGAGGGTCGTCAAAGGCAAATAAAAATAGAGACTCTGAACGCAGTGGGTGAAGGAAAAAACATCTTGTAGATCTGGGACTGTAAACCATTCTGACTCCTCGGGGATTTGGGCCTGCAAGGTATGTGTATAGGAGTTACAGATAACTGAGTAAGTAGGAATTACAGCATCACTGATTAGCCTAAGATCCTGGATTACCCTCCGTCCCCTGGCTGGCTTTTGCACTCTGAGAAGGGAAGTGTTACATGGGCTCTGGCAGGCTCAAGGAGTCCCTGCTGCTTGAGATTTTAATGATGTCTCTAAGTCCCTTCCTTGCCTTCAGTCTCAAGGGGTATTGCCTTTTGGTGAGGAGAGGAGGCATCTTTTAGGTGTATGCGTGCTGGGACTGTGTTTAAGGCTCTGCCAATCTTGTTATGGGATGCCCACACCTTGGGACTGACCTCCGTTTTGATGAAAGGTAAGCAAAGAGGTTGACCCAGCCCCACAAAGACCAAAGTCAACATGTGAACCAAAAAAAATCTCCTCCCAATGGGGTGTGGAACTCTCGGGCATAATCAGGAAGGTGTGGGTAAATGAGATGCCATTCCATTCACAGATCAGAGGTTGTGAGAATTATCTAGTGAGAGGCTGGCAAGAGACTCCCCTTACAGTTAGTCTTATTGGAGGAGAGTCCAGGGTTTGAAAGGAGGACTAGTGGCCCCGGTATTGAGGAGGAAATTGACCATTGTCCCCTCTACTTCAGTGGTAACCTGAGGCTCCCCATTAGAGATGCTGGTCCCATGTAAGGGGCTCTTACAGGGAGGCTTTTGGCTCTCACAGTCCCCTTGTTGTACCACCAAGGAGAAGTCTGGCCCCAGGGGCCTTCATTCCTGGGGGCATTCTGACAGCTAGTGGTCACCATGGCATATGGGACAAGGCTTAGAGGGTCTCCATCTCAGGGGGCACTCCCTTTTAAAATGTCCTTCCTTCTTACATTGGAAGCATATGGGATTGGCTTGCTCCTCACTTCCATATGAAAATATACAGGGTCCAGCCTCCCATAGGGCTGCCACCAATGTGGCAGCCTTTGCTTGGGCTTTTTCCTTTCTCACTTTAATCTCCTCTTCCTCCTTGTTGTAGATTTTAGTAGCAATCTTAAGCAGATTGTCTGTATTGTCCTCTGGTCCTTGGGGAGACTTGTGTAATTTTTCTCCTAATATCTGGAGCTGACTGGGTCATGACTTTGTCCTTAAGGACAATTGCCCACCATAACTATCAGGATTCTAGTTGGTATGTTTAGTTAGGGCCTCCCACGGGTGTTGTAAAACGTCTCCTAGGGTTTCACTGCCTCCCTGCGAGGTCTGAAAGAGTTGGGAGTAGTTGAAGGGTTTGTTTCAAGTACACCTTAAACCCTCAACAATGCATTGAAGGACGTGTCTATGACTCCATTCTCCTTCGTCCACATTGGGATTCCAGTTTGGTTCTGCACTGGGAACTGCCTGGCTCCCCAGCTCTGCCTCTCTTCTCCTTCCTCAGTTGAGTATGTGGGTGCCATTCCCTGTTCCCTCTCCTACGGCTGGGAGTCCAGTACTTCCCATCCTCTACAGTCCATCTCCATGCTCACTGCTTGAGGGCTGCTTCCCTGGCTGATGCATTTAGGGTCTTGCTCAGCATGAGCATGGCTTCCTTCCAGGCCAAATCAAAGACCTGACAGACTTCTACGAGGGTTTCTATGTGTTTGTCTGGGTCATCAGAAAATCCCCCTAGACCAGCCTTGATCTGTGTAAAATCTTGCAAGGAGAAAGAGTGGAAAGTCTGGATGGGGTTTCCTGCTCTTTTGTCTCTCAGGGGGAGCAGGAATGGTATTATAGAGGTTTTGCTTTAGGCCTGTACAGAGGAAGGGGCACTAAGTATTACAGCGGTATCAGATGTAGGGGGCTCTGGCAAGGATTCTTTCTTGGGGTCCTGAGTAAGCTCAGAGAAGTCCCCTATTTTTCCTTGGACTATTGTCAAGAGGGCTGGATCAATCTGGCCACTGCCCTCTACCTCCCAGTTGATATCCTGGCCATGTCCGGGTGCAGAAGAAGGTCAGTCTCTTCTTTTTAAGAGATTACAGGTCAAGTTGGCTGCAGTTGTCTCTAATGCCCTCCAAAAGAGTGTATATTGAGGAGGATGAAGTCTCACCTGCCAGATAATGAGAAGAGCACATTTGGGTGTCCCCAAGGCCCTGCCCATCGGGTAGGGCCTGGCCCTATATAGTATCCTTTTTTGTGGCTTGAGGAGAGGACATGGTCTGTCTCTATACCTTTGTGACCAACGAGTTCCTCCACATTCTGTGCTTGTGTGAGGGCTAATACACCAGCACCTAGTCTGAACCCACCATATTCTTTTCTGTATAACCCAATAGGATGTCTGATAGCCAGTCCATGAGAATTACGTGTGGGAGGCTGGGGAAGGGATTCCTGGATGTGTAACCTCATTTAATCTTTGTCTATGACCCAGTTCCCCAGTGAAATGAAAGCAAGGAATTGACTGGAGGTGTTTCCTTTCCTGAATCAAAAAATAGACATCATCCCAGGTACTGGTGGCTCATGCCTGTAATTCCAGCTACTCAGGAGGCAGAGATCAAGAGGATTCAGGTTCCAAGCCAGCCTGAGCAAATAGTTTGTGAGACCCTGCCTCAAAAATATCCTACACAAAACAGGGCTGTCCAAGTGGCTCAAGTGGTAGAGCTCCTGCCTAGCAAGTGTGAGATTCTCAGTTCAAATTCCAGTGCTTCAAAAAAAAAAAATAGAAATCATAAGGTGTGTGATGCCTATTCCATCCTAGAAGAGCCACAGGCTCAGATCTTAGGTGGTGGTGGTGGTGTTTGTTTTGTGAGATGAGGGCGGCCTCTACTGGCTGTCTGCTCTATTGTCTGGCATCAGGGTTGAGATGGTGTAGCTCTAGTTCTCCCATGATTGGGCCCTATGACCTGGGTAGAAATCTTCAGGAGAAAGTCTGCAGAGAGGAATCAACACACTGCATAGTGAGTGAAACAAAGAACACTTGTGAACTCACGCCTGCAGAGTTAACGAGCACCTCTGTTCCGAGGGTCAGCACCACTGGCTGACAGCTGTGGATGAGGTGCCCCTCTCTGTATGGGCTATAGAAGATGGAAGGAAGCGAGAGATCAGACCATCTGCTGTGCTTGGGAGTAGTCTGGGATTCCACAAGACTTGTCACCTTTAGGGCTATAGATGATTCAGGTTGCTGTTTCCTCAGCGTTTGGGTCCCTCCAGAGAGTCATCCTGCCAGGACCCTTCAGTTGTCAAGAAGAACTTCCCTCCCCATCAGCCTGTCTTAGATCCCCTTTGCGGAGATGATGAAAGGACAGTGAAGCTGGTCACACCAACATTTCCTCCTCCTTGGCAGAGGGGGATCGAACTGACTCACTGCAGCACACCTTACACCTGGGACTTTAAGACTAGGAGCCGTGCTATTTGTGTTTAACTGGCTGACAGGTGCCTGGTATTTCTGATGGGTTTTATTAGACTTGAACAAGGGCTATGAAAACCAAAGAAAATCAAGGATCGCTGCCCAGAAACAAATGGAAGCCAGGAGAGTCATATGGCACGGCTCCTTTGTCAGAGCCTTTAGAAGCAGCCAGTTGTGCTGACACCTAGATTTCACACTTTGGCATCCAGAGCGTGACAAGAAATGTCTGTTCTAAGCTGCCCACATGTGGTGTTTGGCTATGGAAGCCACTGGAAGTGAGAGCACGGGGCCTACGGCTCAGGGAGTGTGGGCTGAAGGACAGGGTCTGCTCCAGCTGCCAGGGGCTGCAGAAGTTTTGCTCTGACCTTGAGTGAGAAGATGTTAATCCCAGACCCTTGGGAAATACACTCAGTGGAGTGCAATGGCCTGTGATGTGCTGGTTGTGTCCCAAGTCAGCTTTCTCTACTTCTTTGAAACTCAACGGCTGCATGTTTTCAGACAGTGGGGCCTAGGACCCAGTCATCAGAGCAAGAATTGTCTCTGGTGCTCAATCAAAAACTAGCACCACTGAGAGTCCCAGCTAGTAATGAGGCAGTCCTTCTGCTCTCTCTCTCTCTGTGAGTGTGTGTGTGTCTGTGTATGTGAGAGAGAGAGATTGTGTTTGTGAGTGTGTTATTGTGAGAGAGGGAGTTGTGGTGTTGTTTTTTCCATGGGAATTTCAAGAGGAAAGTGGGACAATTCAGGGAATCCCTGGGCCCCGGGCAGCTGTAGCCCAGATAATAGCCACCCATGAGTGCTGTTGACATATTGGTCTCCTGGACTCCCGGGACCCAGTCAGACAGCCCTGTCTTCCACCCCAGAAGCCACCACTGGGCCTTTTCAGCACCCATACTGTTATGTTGGCCTCTGTGACTGTCCATGGAGATGGGCACCATGAGGGAGAAGTGCAGTTTCTATGTCACACATATGAGTTCTCACCTCCCTCTGCCCATCCAAGAAGACCTAAGAACTCACAGTACAAGATGAACAATGCCATCATGGTAAGAAGATGGAGGTGGACTGTGCTATTTATCTCAAAAGACTTTTCCAGGAGACTGGCTCACCCATTCCTTAGCCAGAGTTGGATCATAGGCCACCCAGTCCCAGGCAGTGACCTCCTTGGGGAGGAGACAGTCAGGTTACTGTGATGTCTTGCTACCTGTATTAGTCAGAATGGCTTGACTGTTTATAACAGAAACCCCAGAGTAACAGGCTTAAAGGAGGTGCCTTGTAGAGAGCAGGTTATGAGAAGCCTATGAGAACTGGACATAAGCAAGGTGAGATACAGCTCAGCTGCTTTTCCTAAGATGTTCATCTGTAGCCCAAGATTGGCATAGGCCCAGCCACAGAAGAGGAAGATGCAGAACAGCTGCTTCTCCTAAGTTGTTTTCATTCAGAGAAGCAGGAACGCAGGTTTCTCCTGTTACAGTGTCACACCCCTCCCCAAGAACCGCTGCTCCACCCTATTTACCACTGGGTATAAAAGACTTGCTGAAGGAGGATGCAAGGCTTTTTGCTTTGAGCGTTTGCTATGGGGTTTTTTGCTTTGGACTTTTGGGCTTTTGGCTTTTGGATTTGGGAGGCTTTTGGAAGGGGGACTTGCTAAAGGGAAAAGGATTTCTGAAGGGAAATGAATTGCTAAAGGGGAATTGCTAAAGAGGGGTTGATGGAAAGTCTGCACCGAGAACTTTATACTAGGCTTTAGCAAAGCTAAGGTAAAGAAAAGCTACAGAAAACCTGGGACAGTGCAAGTCTGAGCACCGAGGCTTTAAGAAAGCTAAAGAGAGAGCAATGGACAGTGCAAGTCTGGGGGCAAAGAGAGATTATGCTAAAGAACAGCTAAGAGAAAACATGGGTCAGAGTGAGTCTAAGGAAAAAGACTTTAAAGAACAGAAAAGAAGACTTTAAAAGCAAGGTTTTAAGGAAAGACTTTAGAAGCAAGGTTTTAAAGAATTGTAAAGGAGTAAGGCCTTGAAGAATAAAGATAGAGATAAGAAGCAGAGTAAATGAGGAGAGTAATAGAGAAAAGAAGCAATGAGGGTTGTGTGTTTCCACCAAGCACCCAGCACCCCCGGCCCCAACTTCCTGTCTGTCTATCTGTCTATACTGTGTCCTTTCTGCATCTCCAGATGCAGAAAAATCTCCTCCAACAAGGGAACAAGAGAAAAAGCTCACTCCAGTGCCTCTTTCTTTCCCTCCCTCCCTCCCTCTTCCTCCTTTCTCTCCCTCCCTCCCTCTTCCTCCTTTCCCTCCCTCCCTCTTCCTCCTTTCTCTCCCTCCCTCCCTCTTCCTCCTTTCTCTCCCCTCTCTTTTCTCTTTGCAGGCATCTAGTGGTCTGAGTCATGTTGCCTCCAAACCACCCCAAAATGAACTGACTTCATTCAAGTTTCTGACCTAGATGATTTCTCTTTTTTTGGCAGTACTGAGATTTGAACTCAGAGTTTCCAGCTTGTAGGTGGGTCCTCTACCAACCAAGATACACCTCCAGTCCCTCTTTCTCTGGTCATTTTTGAGATAGAGTCTCACTTTTTGCCCAGGCTAACCTGGATCAGGAGCCTCCTATTTATGGTTCCTATGTAGCTGGGGTGACAGGCATGCACCACCATGTCCAGCCTTTATTAGTTGAGATGGGGTCTTGTGCCTGGGCTGGCCTCAAACTGAAATCCTACTGATCTCTACCTAGCTGGGATTACAGGTGATAGTCCCCAGTGCCTGACTCAGGAAATAGACTTTTTTTGTGGCACTGGGGTTTGAACTCAGAGCCTCATGCTTGCTAAGCGGGCACTCTTATGGCTTGAGCCAATCCACCAGTCCTTTTTTGTGAAGGATTTTCTTCGAGATAGAGGCTTGTGAACTATTTTCCCAGGTTGTCTTCGAACTGCGATCCTCCTGATCTCTGCCTCCTGAATAGCTGGGATTACAGGTGTGAGCCACTGGTGCCTAGCTAGGAAATGGACTTTTAAAGAAAGACTTTCCTTTTAGCTTATTCAGTGATATAGAACTAAATTTAGAATTCAACACATGATATTGTAATTATAATATTGTTACAACACACTAAGTGTATTTTTGTAACATTTACTCACAAGCAGTGTTTTCTGTTTCATAGCTTGAATTACCTGGAACACTAGGGGGAATTTTCTTCTTTCATTCCTTGTCACAGAGTGGAATGCTTGCTGTTCTTGGTGACATAGTAAGTAACTTTGCAGTGGGAGGATCCTTGACCACTGCCAGAGCTTTGTTAAAACTCCCATATTTATTTTTCCATATTTGAAATTCAATTAGCTGTTCATGCATGTATCCATCCACATAACTGTTCATCCATCCTTGCATTCAGTCATCCATCCATCCACCCATCCTCTCATCCATCCATCCACACATCCTCTCATCCATCCATCCACACATCCAGCCATTCTTCCATCAATCATTCCATCCACCCACCTGCTTACTCTTCCTCCCTCTGTTAGACACACATTCAGCAGCATTTACAGGGTATCTTCTAGTTGCTGGGCATTGTGATGAGGACCAGAGATAAAACACAAATCTGGTGCATGTATCACAGGCAGGGCATGGGATTATTTTAAATCCTTCATGTCAAACATTTCTTTAACAATTGTTTTTTTTTTTTTTCAGTACTGGTGTTTGAATTCAGTGACTTTGAGTCACTCCACCAGCTCTTTTTTTTGATGGGTTTTTTCAAGATAGGGTCTCATGAACTATTTCGCCTGGGCTGGCTTTGAACTGCGATTCTCCTGGTCTCTGTCTCCTGAGTAGCTAGGATTACAGGTGTGAGCCACTGGTGCCTGGCACTTTTTAAACATGTATTCAAACGCTGACCACATGAAACCCGGGGCTTCACAGGTACCACTTAGACTAAGTTGAGAAACTGGGTCAGCCAGTATAAACTGAAATTGAGGGAAAAATACCAAGTAAGAAAGAGAATAAGTAAGTTCATACCCAGGTCTTGCAAAGATTGTGCACTCTGAAGTTTCGGGGAGACCCACTATTGGGAAACTTCCACTCTGCCAAGGGAAATGGATGTAATAAAACTATTACAAAACAGCAGTCCCCATACTAGATACAGGCAAAAACCACTAGGGTTTCCCACAGGGGAGGAGCTGTCACTGTGTTTTACATGGTGTCAGAGGAGACTTGATGGATGGAGCATGCTCTGAAAGGTCTTGCAGCTTGAGTAGGAGTTCTTAGGTGGGTCATCCCCAGGAGGGATGGACCAGGAAGATCTTGAAGGCTTGAAGAAGCTTCCACTGTTGAGGGATCACTGAATCTCTCCCCTACTGTGCCCTCTGTGTCCTACTTTGTCCTTTCTAGGTGTCATCATACTTTGGTTGGGTTACATTTGTGGTCCTTTGTTTCTTGTCACCCTGATGTCCAGGCTCAGAACCCCAATGACAGGGACAATCAAAGGCAGGAAAGGTGGATCTCAATCTCCAGCCCTTTTCCCTTCCAGAAGAGTCACACTGATACCAGGTTGCTGGAAGCCACCCCAGGTTTGCTCCAGCCCCTGTCTTAAGTTACCTCCTCAGCAGACACTGTGGTGTGCACCACCACTTCCAGCTTTTCCTGTCTCTGTCCAGTGTCTTCTTTGGATACCTCTGCTGGAGTCTCCTTAAGGTGGAGAAGAAGAACCTTTGAAGGCATCTTGCTAAGGTTTTTGTGATAGAGTCTAGCCCAGGCTGGCCTTGAACTCAAGATCCTCATGCCTCAGCCTCCCCAGTGCTGGGACCATAACTATGGCACTGTGGGGAAAGATGAGGGCATATAGTCTCAGCACACCTTGCAGGTGGGGCCTGGCCCCTGTGTGCAGGAGAAGCCACATGCATGTGTGAGGAAGGGGACATACAGCCTTCTACATCCCAAGAGGTGCTCAGAGAGCAGGACCCTATATCTTCAAATACAGAATTACTGGACATGAGGTTCCTAGTGCTTCTCGCTTCTTCCCTGTCTGGGAAAGGGATACCTGTTCACCTCCATGGCGCTCATCAATCAGCTCGGTTTTTCAATTCCATCTTTGCAGATCAGGCACCATGGTACACACCTGTAATCCTGTCACTTGGGAGGCTGAGGTGAGAGGGTCGCAAGCTGGAGGCTGGCCCAGGCAAAGGTAGTGAGACCCTGTCTGAAAAAAACAAAAACCAAAGGGTTAGGGACAAAATTCTCGAGGTAGAAAGCCGGGTGCCAGTGGCTTACGCCTGTAATCCTAGCTACTCAGGAGGCAGAGATCAGGAGGATTGTGGTTCAAACCAGCCCGGGCAAATAGTTCAGGAGACTGTATATCGAAAAAAGAAAAAAAATCACAAGAAAGGGTTGGCGGAGTGGCTCAAGGTATAGGCCCCGAGTTCAAACCCCATTACCAGCACTCGCCTAACAAGTATGAGGCCATGGGTTCCATCCTCAGTACCAAAAGGAAAAACAAAAGCAAGTCAGAATACTTCAAACAGTGTACTTTATAAGGAAAAGAAGTTTTTTTGGCTCATTTTGGAGGCTGAAAAGTCCAAGGTCAGGCAGGTACATCTGAGAGGCCTCGTGTTGCCTCCTAACACGGCAGACAGCGTTCCCAGGCAGGAGGATGTGCAAAGAGGCCAAACACCCTAGACAGCCTTGCCTTCCTAACAGCCTTCCAGAGCAGGCTGCAAGCAGGGCTTCATGACTTCAGCACTGTGGACATTGGGGACAACCTGTTCTCTGATGAGGTGTCCTGGGCCCTGCAGGGCACTGAGCAGCATCCCTGGCCTCCACCCACTCCATGCCAGGAGCTCCCCAGTTGTGACAGCCACATATGTCCCCAGACATGGCCCAGGGTTCCCAGACATGGCCTTGATAAAGTTTAAGGAAACCAGACTGCTAAACCACTTTGATACACAGTTGTGTTGCTGTGTTAACTCCTGCCTCAGTGACTTGACGTGGCTTCTTTTTACCTCAGGGCATGTTCTTTTACACAGAGCATCCCCTCAAACATAGGATGGGGCTGTCCTTCCAGTATGACAGCCCTCTAGAGGTTATCATTGTCCCGGGCCAGCGAGGCTTTCTGATCTTCTGGAATGAGAAACACCTGTTCATGTCCCCCAACTCAGGTGAGTATGTGCCTCTCCAAGCCAGAATGGGGCTGGCCAGGATCCTGAGCCAGGTGCCCACTGCAAACCCGAGTGGACCCTGAACCCATTCTTGCTTGGCCTGCTCACCTCTCCACTGCCTTCCTAGTAGGACTTTCAGGGCCAGCGAGACAGACAGGTTCTGAGAGGTACCAGACCAAGGGTTCCAAATCTTCCCATTCTCTGCCCGGGGAACCTCGGACCTTGTTTAGGGCCAAGGTCAGTGATTATGTGAGATGGATCAAGGTCACCTGCTGAAACTCTGACTTCTGGGATGGAGACTAGAGCAAGTAAATCTCCCCTGGGAGACAGAACAATGTAAACATGCAATGGTGCCTCCAGCCAGCACTGATGGACTTCGAACACAAGAGCCGTCACCTTGTCAGCAGGATAGAGAGGAACACAGGCAGTCCTTGGGGAGGTGGGAGCCCTCAGGGCAAGTTGCCCCACTTCAAGCTCCTACTGTGCAGCAGGCACCCACCTTTTTGTAAGATGCAAAAAACCTGGGGACATAGCTGTGTCTCCCAGTAGCGGGGGCCCAAGAAAGGCTGGGTTTATTCTGTTTTGTTTTTGTCTTGTTTGGTTGTCTCTGGGAAGGAAACAGGGTCTTGCGTGCTAGGCACTCACTCTGCTGCCCAAACCCCCAAGCTGTTTTATTCCTTATACTTAATACCCTATTAAAAGCCATTCTGAGGACTGGCAGAGTGGCTTAAACGGTAGAGCGCCTGCCTAACAAGTGTAAGGCCTGAGTTCAAACCCCCATACTGACAAGACAAAACAAAACAAAATAAAGTTTTCTGTCACGTTCAAGCCCCCAGTCCACAAAAAAATCATTTCTCTTCTCAACTTCATAGCCACTCCTCAGGGCTCTGCTGCCAGGAGGAGTCGCAGTTTCCTTGTTGTGTTTTACAAAACTGTATCTCTGCCTTGCGTTTTCCTTCTTTATCCTTTGAATAGCAAACCAGACAAAAGTTGTGAGAAGGAAATGCAACCCCTTGGGTGGGGGGAGGGTGAAAGGGGCAGCAGGTCCTCTCTCCCTAGGATGCTCTCAGTCCCCATGAATCACTGCTGTCGCCTCCTAGGTCAGCTTGTAGACACCGTTCGGCTGACAAAAGGAGAGAATGTCTTGTTTTCATCCATCACTGATGCCAGTGTCACCATCCACACCATCGCCACCAGTATGTACCCGACCTATTGGTAACTTTCTGAAAACCCTGGTACCAGCTGTTGTCCTGCCTGATCCAGCCTGGCCACAACCCAAAGCCAAATGATCACACATTCAGGGATGATTCAGAGCCAGAACTCTGTTCCCTTAAGCAATGAAATGGAACATCCTTTGGATATTCATTTGCTAGGGCCACCGTAAAAAAAATTGTCAAAAATTAGGTGGCTTAGAATAATAATTTAACATGCCCTCAACAGGGCATGGTGGTACATGTCTGTAATCCCAGCACTTGAAGCATACACAGGAGGACTGTGAGTTCCAGGCCAGCCTGCATTATGTTGTGAGACCCTGTCGCAAACAAAAATATTCTCACGATCTGGAGGCTGGAAGTCTGTAATCCAGGTGTCTGCAGGCCCGGCTCCCTCTGAGCACTGCAAGGGAGGCTCTGTCCCAGGCCTCTTCCAGTTTCTGGTAGTCTCAGGCCTTTCTGGACTTGTGGGTGGTCAATCTTCTGCTGTGTGTGTGGGCTTGTCTCTGAGTCTGGGTTTCCCCCTTGACCACCTCTGCAAAGACCCTATTTGCAAATGCAGCTCTTCCTCAACTGAGGACAGGGCCATATCCCAGTAAATCAATAAGTTCAATATCACAAGCGGAAAGAGCATTGAGCACACCCGATTTCCCAGCCTCCTAGCTGGCTGTTAGCTAGGGAACAGAAGGTGGCGGGAGCACATGCATCTCGTCATAAGGCGGAGGAATCCTGAGTGGCTCGTGTTAAGTTGGGGACCGCAGCGCGTCTTTCTGGAGAAGACATTGTTCAAGGTGCTCACCTCCCATGAATCACATTCTAGGGTTTTTGCTAGGCAGTTGTCTCGGTGCTGTTTTGTTCTACCTCTTTGCAGGATTATTTTTCTCCTAACGCAGCTGCACGTGGCGACATCGCAGAACCAGTGCAACAATCTGTGGGCTTACTTGACTTTTTGAGAGGCAAACAACTGTCTGCTCATCCGTGTGTGCACCCTGCCTCTGTCCCTTATCTAGTGAAAATTAATCTGTACTTGGAGAAATGAATTACATCAAAATTAACCTACAACTGTGGCAGTGATGTATGCTCCTTTAAAGTTTTCTTTCTTCTTCTTTTGGAGGTACTAGGGTTTGAACTCAGGACCTTGCACTTCCTAGGCAGGCAGACCCCCAACCCTTTTCTGCTTTATTTTTCTGGTATGGTCTTGTGTTTTTGTCATGGGCTGGTGTCTGAACACAATCCTCCTATCCACCCCTCCCACCTAACTCGGATTACAAATGTGCACACTGTGCCCTGCTTTTTGTTTGAGATGGGGATCTCATTAACTTTTTGCTTGGACTAGCCTTGAGTCTGGATCCACTTCCCAGTAGTTGGGATTGCAGGCATGAGCTAGTGAGTCTGATCTTTTCTTTCTTTTTTTATTTTTATTTTATTTATTTTTGCAATACTGGGTCTTGAACTCGGGGCCTACACCTTAAGCCACTCCGCCAGTCCTTTTTTGTGAATTTTTTGTGTGTGTGTATGTGTGTATGTGTGGGTATGGGTGTGTGAAGCCAGCCTGGGCTGACTTCAAACTGCAATCCTCCTGATCTCTGCCTCCTGAGTAGCTAGGATTTCAGGCATGAGCCACGGGTGCCCAGCAATTTCTTTTCTTTTGAGACAGAGTATTGGTATGTAGACCAGGCTAGACTCGAACTTGTGATACTCCCACCTCCACCTCCAGATGCTGGGATTATAAAATTATAGGTGGGAAACTAAAATGGGGGTGGGGGGCTTGGGGTGCATCTCAGTGGTTAGCGCTAGCATGCACAAGGCCCTGGGTTCATTCCCAGCACAGTAGGGAGGGGAGGGGATTGGTAGGGTTACTCATGAGAATTAATTGCCCATGACAGTTTTTCGATGGAGCCAATTTGGCTTCCCACAGGGGAGTGTGAGCTGTCCTCAGCCAGGCCTGCAGCCACCAGGCTGGGGCACTGTCTACTCCATGTGTCCTGGGAATGTTTGTAGTCTGGAAGGAAGTAGTGTCCTCAAATAGCTGACTGGCTTCACCTCAGCATTGATCTTATTTGGACATGGTCCGGTCAGCTGGCTGCCTGTGATTGGCTGACACTTGGTATCTGTTACAAAAAGACACACCCCCAAGTTCAGTCTGAGCTGCCTCTTTGTTCTCACTCAGCTGGAGGAGAGAGGTAGCAGGGGCCTCCAGCATCAGTACCCAAGGTGGCACAGTGTTAGAAATTGAAGAATTGGTTTTTTTTCATTTCCACTTTTGTTTTTGTTTTGCTTTCCCCAGATGAAAATGAACTGGCAGTGTTAACACGGGAGGATCATTTATATTACGGCAGTCTGGGATTCCTGTCTACTTCTGTAATCAAAGTAGGTAAAAAGCAAAAGGGTCTCACTCTCAGATTCTGATTCTTTGTCTGAAGCTAGGGATCATTCTAAGGACAGCAGCTAAAACTTTTTAAAAAAAAAATAAACAGACTTTTATTCTTTTGTACTTTCTTTCATTATAATACAGGCTTTGTAGGAAAAACTTTAAAAATGTCCCAATTAAATTTTCCCTGAACCTAATCCCCAAAATTTACTTGCATCATCTGCTTTCCTAGATCCACATAGTAAGCACTTGCTCAACTACCACATAAGCACATAAAATTTAATGTTTTCTCACCAGAGCTCGTTGTCTCCATCCTTTCTCTGTTCTGGATTTCAATTTAGCCAGTGACAAACCCCCTCTCCCATCCCAGCGGTGCTGCTCGTTCCACTGCAGAATTCTTTCTGCTTCTTTCCTCCTCGCCTTGTGGCTGGAATATTGCAAAACTTTACTCGGTTTCCACACCCTCATTTTAATTTGCTAACTTAATTTGCTGAAACTTAACTGAGCACTTAAAAACAGCAACTGCCACTCTAACTGGATCAGCCTTCTGTGTTATGTCATTTAAACCTGGCTGTTGTTTGAGTTCTTTTTGTGTTAAGGAATGAGTTTTATTTACTTATTTTAAAAATAATTATTTATTTATTTTTTCTTTTAGTCATATGTGCATACATGTTTGGGTCATTTCTCCCCTCTTTCCCCAGCCCCCTCCCTCTCCCCCCCACCTCCTCGCTATCAGACAGAAACCGTTTTGCCCTTATCTCTAATTTTGTTGAAGAGAGAGTATAAGCAATCATAGGAAGGAACAAGGGTTTTTGCTGGTTGAGATAAGGATAGCTATACAGGGAGTTGACTCGCATTGATCTCCTGTACATATGTGTTACCCTCTAAGTTAATTCTTCTTGAACTAACCTTTTCTCTAGTTCCTGGTCCCCTTCTCCTATTGGCCTCGGTTGCTTTAAAGTATCTGCTTTAGTTATTCTGCATTGTGGGGCAACAAATGCTATCTAGTTTTTTGGGTGTCTTACCTATCCTCATACCTCCCAGGTGTGCTCTCGCTTTATCATGTGCTCAAAGTCCAATCCCCTTGTTGTGTTTGCCCTTCATCTAATGTCCGCATATAAGGGAGAACATATGATTTTTGGTCTTTTGGGCCAGGCTAACCTGATGTTCTCCAGTTCCATCCATTTACTTGCAAATGATAACATTTCGTTCTTCTTCATGGCTGCATAAAATTCCATTGTGTATAGATACCACATTTTCTTAATCCATTCGTCAGTGATGGGGCATCTTGGCTGTTTCCATAACTTGGCTTGTGAATAGTGCCGCAATAAACATGGGTGTGCAGGTGCCTTGCGAGTAACCTGATCACATTCTTTTGGGTATATCCCCAAGAGTGGTATTGCTGGATCAAATGATAGATCAATGTTTAGCTTTTTAAGTAGCCTCCCCATTTTTTTCCAGAGTGGTTGTACTAGTCTACATTCCCACAACAGTGTAAGAGGGTTCCTTTTTCCCCCGCATCCTCGCCAGCACCTGTTTTGTTTTTAAGTTCCCTATATATCTGGTTATCAGTCCTTTGTCTGATGTGTAGCTGGCAAATATTTTCTCCCACTCTGTGAGTGTTCTCTTCAGTTTAGAGACCATTTCTTTTGTTGAGCAGAAGCTTATTTTAAAAATAATTCTGTCAAGTCCTGGGGATGTGTCTTAAGTGGTAGAGTACCTGCATAGCAAGGGTGAGGTCCTGAGTTCAAATTCAGGTACTGCCAAAAACTTAAAAATAATTTACTCTATCTAGTTTATTATATATGTATATAAGAGGTGTATGTTTTTTGTTATATATATAATACACACACCTACGTTTGGGGGTGGTGCTGAGGATGGAACCCAGGGCCTAGTGCATGCTAAACACATGCTCTACCCCTGAAATATACCCCAGCCCTTGATGTGTATTTTTAAAGCAACACACAGCAATTGTGCATAGTAGCTGAGTAGAGTGTGGATTCCAGCACGCATATACAGTGCACAATGGTCAGGTCAGGGTCGCCAGTGTACCCATCACTTCAGACATTTATTACAACAAATCCTCTGTGCTAGCTCTTTTGGTTTTTTGGGGGGTGGGGGACTGAGACACTATCTTGCTCTGCAGCCCAAGCTGACTTGAGTTCTCCATCCTCCTGCCTCAGCCTCCTGAGTGCTGGGGTCACAGGCATGGCCTCAACACCAGAGTTATTTTGCAATATTTAGTTAATTGTTGTGAACCATGGTTGTCCTACTGTGCTTGTTAAGCTTTTCTCCTTTGTCCTCTAACTCTCCCCTCCCCCTCCTCCTCCGCTTTCCTAGCCTCTGCTGTCCACCATTTGATCTGATCTCCATTTCTTGAGAGTGACATCAACCTCCCCAGAATTGAAAATGTGCGGTTTTTGTCTTCCTGTGCCTGATTCATCTTAAGGTGGAAGACCTAAGCTTAGCTTGCCTTCCTTTCTTTCCCAGGGCCATGAAAGTCACAGGTGGCTGACCCACATCAGTCTTCTTAGGTTCCTGTCCCCTACCTCGGTGGTCATCCCACTCTACACACAAACGCCACCCTTCCCCAGAGTTCCTGCTCATGGGTTAGAATATGCTCACTGATTCAAGGCAGGGGCACAGCCACTTCTTTCCGCCTTCACTGACAGCCGCTGCCACTGTTTTCTGGAAGTTCTGCAGCTTTCCTTGGCCCTCCAAAGAGGCCATGCCCTGTGAATAAGAGCAAAGGGCTGTGGGCAGGCTCCGTGGTGAGCGCTTACCCGTTCACCTGGCACACCCAAGGCCCTGTTTGAGCTCCAGCCAGCACTGAAAACACATATAGATGTAATGTGCACATTGTATCTTGTATATGCATATACATACACATGTATATGTGCTAATTCAACAAGTTAAGGAAAACGACCTTGAGTAGTTTAATCTCAGAATTCCTTTTCCTTGTAGCTCCCTCACCAGCCCGTCTGGAGCCCAGAGGTGGCCCTGATGTTCCACGATTCGGGGAGACTTGAGATCCTCACCCCAGTTTTTGACGGCAGCTCCCTGGCTTTCGACTTCGAGAAGTGCTCCGTGAACATCCAGGCGGTTCTCATGGAGCCCGAGCTCCAAGTGCCAAAGTGCAAAGTATGTGACTGCAACTCTCCATCCTCGCCCAATGCACTCCTCTTACACAAATGAGTCCCGGGGCCCAGCACTGGGCTGGCGTGGCCAGGAGCCACAGGGACACCGCCCACCAAAAGGAGGCCACGTGAAACATGGCTCCAGGTGCCGCTGGGGTTTCAGATGAGGACTAAGTCTGACACCCTGTCACCTGGGCATAATCATCCCAAAACCCTCACGTCCCCAGTTCCAGAAAAGAATGCCTGTCACTTTGATTACATACTCTTTGTAACGAGGAACTCGCTAGGGCTTGGATGTGCTTTGTTTCCCAAAGGCTCTTGTGCTGGGAGTGTGGTCCTAGTATGACGTTGACAGGTGGTGGGACCTTTAACAGATGGGGCCCAGCAGCAGATTAGGTTAGATTGTAGAAGTGTCACCCTCAGAAGGGATTAACACCTATCTCTGGGGAGGTTAGTTCTAACAAGAGTGGAGCACAAGCCAGGCACCAGTGGCTCACGCCTATAAGCCCAGAATACTTGGGAGGCTGAGATCAAGAGGATCACAGTTTGAGGCCTGCCCAGGCAAGAAAGTTTATGAGACCCCATCTCAATGGAAAAAAGCTGTGTGTGGTTGCACATGCCTGTCATCCAAGCTACATAGGAAATGTAAAATAGGATTGAGGTCTGGTCTAGCCTGGACAAAAAAGTGAGACCCCTATCTCTAAACTAACCAGAGCAAAAAGGGCTGAGTGTGGCTCAAGTGCCAGAGCGCCTGCCTAGCAAGGCAAAGGAAAGGAAGAAATAAAGCAGGCCACCCCATGTGTCTGCCCTTCTGCACATGGTCAGACCCTGATCGCTTTCCCACCATGTTGTGACAAACCACAGGATCCCCTAACCAAGATGTGGACCCTCCAGCCACCAGAATCATGAAGCTTTATGTAAAACTCCATCTAGGCACTGGATACGTCCAGACTCATAAGCAAGCTGAAGATCTGCCCAGCAGACCCTCATCCTTCTACCACATGTTCCAGGGGAAGAGAGTGGGCCTCTTATGGCTCTCACAAGCCAAGGGTGGCCAGGCACTAATGGCTCACACCTGTGATCCTAGCTACTCAGGAGGCAGAGGTCAGAAGGATCCTGGTCCAAGTCAGCCCTGGCAAAGAGTTCACAAGTCCCTATCTTGAAAAAGTCCATCACAAAAAAAAGGGCTGGTAGAGTAGCTCAAGGTGTAGACCCTGAGTTCAAACCCCGGTACTAAAAAAAAAAAAAAGGCCAAGCAGCACCTGCTTTTCTCATTGGCTCAGACAGAATGATACACCCATTCCTGGACCATTCATGGGGCTGGGAGTAAGCCCATCACAACCAGCCTGTGAGATGCAGTGGGGTCAGTCCCAGAGGGCTTGTGGAGTGACTCAAGGTGTAGGCCCTGAGTTTAAGCCCCAGTACCACAAAAAAAAAAAAAAAAAAAAAAAAAAAACTGAGCATATTTTTCTGGGCTGGGGTGTGGCCAATGGTAGAATGCTTGGCTGGCATTAGTGGGGACCCAGATTCCAGCACTGCAAAAAAAAATTACCCTAAAATCAAAGATTTGAAAGTATTGAAAGAGTGTGCTATGTACCTGAGAATGTCAGCACAGAGTGACCAACACTAAGACATGGTTTAGGAAAATGATTGGACCTGAAAGAGAAAGTTCCTTTGGGGCATCTAAGGGAAAAGAGCTTGCAACTTAGAAGGGAAATAAATAAATAAGACATTCTCATCATTCTTTCTGACAGCAGACACTATCACAGAGCTAAGTGAAAGGACGTACTTAATTCTTCAGGAAGGAAGGTAAACTGAGATTTTTATACCCAGCACAATTGACTATTAAACATAACCAGTGAACAAATTGTTATGAACAGGTTTATTTTGCCTTCCTGTGCTGGAGGGTGGAAGTCCAAACAAAACATGACTGATGTGCATGGCAGATGGACAACCTCCCTCTCCTTACAGTCACCAAGATTACACCACAGGTCCCCACCCCTACCCCCACGCCAGTGACCTTGTCTCATCTAACACTTTCAGAGGCTCACCCCTAAACACTGTAATGCAGTCACCTTTTCACCCCTGATACATTAGACTTTAGAAGATTGGGGCCTGGCTCAGGTGGTAGAGCACTTGCCTAGCAAGTGTGAGGCTGAGTTCAAATTCCAGTACTGGCACAAAAAGAAAAAGGAAAAAACAAAGTGCTCACAGTGTCAGAATGGACAACACACTTGCACAAGCTGTGCTGAAGAAACACAGGTGGTGATCACCACCTGGGCGCAGAGTCCAGCCGGGCAAACAGGCGTGTGGAGGCCCAGGCAACTGACAGGAGGTTTCCAGCCCTAGGACCCCTACATCGCTTCCCAACTCCCCTACATCACAGTCCTTTCTTTCAGGGAGCAGGGACCGAATTTTTCATTTTTCACTTACCTTTAGCCTTCCTAACAGGTAGAACTGCTTCAAGGACAGTTCGAAGAAGATATGTACACCATCGATATGAACAGCCTATTGATTCTGTCAGCCTCCTTCATCCCCCGGCCTGGCACATCCCCGATCCCACTAGTAAGTGAGTCTCCTGCTGCTTGGGTCTGGCAGTCTTTGGCCACACTCCTGCCCACATGGCCAGGCTCCCTGCCATACCCTGGGCACCGTGGCCTCACCCAGGACACACTCATTCATGATCTGGAACCGTCTCTCCCTGCAGCTAGCCCCTGCCTGCCTGTCCAGCTGCCCCTAGTTTACCGGCCAGCCACCTCTGCTACCCTGCTAGCTGAGCCACCTTGTGAATTCCTTGTCCTCTTTCTCCGACTCTGTCCTCCTCTGTCCTTCCTCCTCCTCTTCCTTCCTCCCCTCCTTCCTACTCTCTCTCCTCCTCCCTCCCTCCTCCTAGAACCTAGAGCCTGGTGCATGGGAGGCACTCTGCTCCCGAGCCCCACTCCACACCCCAGAGAACCCGCATGCTGGCTACATGTGGGAACAGATAGGCCAAGGCCTTTTCTAAAGTTCTGCTTCCTCCTGAGCCCTGCGGCTCCTACAGGCAGCGTGCCAAAACGGTACATCGTGAGCCAGGGCAGGGTGTGGGGGAGTGGGAAGGCTTCGGGGGCACGATGTCAGGATTGGACCAGTGCAAGTTCTCTGTCATCTGAAGGTGGACAGGGGTCCCCTGTGGGTGGGTGTCACCCTTAGGGGCTGCTGGCTCTGTGACAGCCTGTGTCTCTCCTGCCCACACCCCAGGTGATGGTGAGTAACCCCTACTCACTGGGGCTGCATGCCTTCATTGAGGAGTTGGGGAACACCCTGGATGGGAACACTAAGTACAGTCTGGTGAGCGCCTTTGGTTCCACTGCAGCGGGGGAGGTGACATCTGACTTAGCTGGGGAAACCAAGGCATCAGGACTGAGAAGGCGGGGTGGGGGGGGGCCGGCGGGGACATGGCCAATTTGAGTCTGGAGGCCATTGTGCCAAGTGCACCTGTTTGCCGCAGGTTCGCTCTGCAGAGCTTGGTGGTGACCTAGGAGCCAACCAAGGAGGACATCAGACAGTGTCCATAGGACAGGCTGACCAACCCTGAGTTGGCCAAACTAACCCTTTTGGCCAGCCCTTATCACACCACGTGGAAATGAGAGGAGAAACTAGGGAGTCCCACCTTACCGGGGGTCACAGGACACATGGCGAGAGGAAGCCGGAACCCTCAGCTCAGGGGGGCAGACTCTGCACTTCTAGAAGCCTTTCTCTGGATATGGAGTTTGAATTGAGGGGGGTGGAAAGCTCTGGCCTCCCTACTCCACACTGCCCCTACCTGATGCCCCATCTCTTCCCCTGTGCTAATCTTGGGGACATCCTGAGTGGAACCCTGTTATAGGTGAGGTTCTCTCTCTCTCTCTGTCTCTGTCTCTGTCTCATTGGTTTCACAGAACGTTCAACTCCAGCAGCAGCAGCACTCAGGCAGGACTCACCCCAACTTCACCTCCAGGTATGTGGTCACCTGGACAGAGGAGGAGCCCCTGGCTGACTGTGGGAGTTCTCTGGAGCCAGAAGGGGGAGAAGCAGGGTTGAGATGGACGCCAAGCTGTGGGACATTGAGATAAGAATAATTAAAAATACTTTGCAAATGGTGGTCACTCAAAAAGATTAAACATGGAATTGCCATATAGATGCTCCAGCAGTCCCACTTATGGGTGTCAACCCAAAGGACTGAAAGAGGGGCTCAAAGAGATACTTGTACAGTACATTTACAGCAGCCCAGTTCACAATAGCCAAGGTGTGAAAACAACCCAGTGTCTGTGGGTGGATAAATGCACATACACAATGTGGTCTAGCCGTGTGATGGAATACCATGCAGCTGTGAAAAAGGAAGGACATCTGGACATCTGCTCTAATGTAGATGCACCTTGAGGACAGTGAAATGAGCAGATACAGAAGGACACACACTGCAGGACACAAATCACAGGAGGTCCCTAGAGTTGTCAGCCACAGAGACAGGAAGTAGGATGGTGGGTGCTAGGACCGCGAGGGGAAGGGAGGAGAGCTTTGTTTGGGGAGATGGAAGGTTCTGGAGATGGACAGTGGGGATGGCGGTACAGCCATGTGAATGAGCTCAATGCCACTGAAATGTGTACTTAAACATCAGTGCCATGGTCAATTTTAAACTATGTCTACTTACTTCCACGAAAAACAAACCCACATTCAATGAAAACACCACTTCCCAAAGAAGGAAAGAAGACAGCATGGACTAAGTGTCTGTTTCCATGCCTGGTAGAGAAAGGCCATGCTCCCTCTGAGGAATGATGCCGTGGAAGGGGGACCCGGAATTTCTTGGCTGGATCAAAGGTGCTGTGGGAGCCTCTCTCTCCCCTCCAGGTGGATGCAAGGACAGGATGTCCCTATTGCAGGGTGGGGCTGGAAAGCTGGGGCTCACTCAGCTGGCAGAGCTCCAGCAGGGATCAGAAGAGCCCCAATGAGAGACCACAAGGCTTATCAGGGACCAGAGGAGATACAGTGTGTGGGGGGGGGAGTGCACTGGGACCTCTTTTTGTCTCTTATCAACAGGCCTATGGAGGCGGCCACAGCTTGAGTGCTTATTTTGTGGTGGCGGTTGTTGTTTTCCTTCTTTTATTTTTTACTTTAAAATTTTTACCCTGTTTTGTTTCTATGATGCTTTTCCTGTGGGTTTGGAACCCAGTGCTTCACCTCTGCTAGGTGAGCACTTCACCACTGAGATTCCCACCCCCGACCCGGCTTCACTGTCGGCAAATGTGGTGAAAGCCAAGTACAGAATTATCACTTGAAATCAACAATACAGTGGCATTTCATGCATTCCCAGTGCAAGCCTGCCTCTGGTCACTTTAAAAAGAAAAGCCACATGCTGCCTGCCATACAGATGTCAGATGTGACAGTGTGACAGACCTACCGCACTCCAGTTGAATGAAAGGATGGCATGTGTGACTTTGGGTAGCATGCATTTGATAATGACAATGGCCACTTGTATTCTTGCCTTATGATTTTTTTTGAGGGTTTCTTTCTTTGTTTCTTTCTTGTGGGGTTTGAGCTCAGGGCCCTCACACTTGCTAGGCAGGCCCTCTATCGCTTGAGCAACTCTACCAGCCTTTTTTTGTGTTTTTTGAAGATAGGGTCTCATAAACTATTTGCCTGGGCTACCTTCAAACCGCCGTCCTCCTGATCTTTGCCTCCCGAGTAGCTAGGATTACAGGTGTGAGCCACCAGCACCAGGTTTTTTTTTTTTTTTTTTTTTTTTTTTTGTGGTACTAGGGCTGAACTCAGGGCCTTCACCTTGAGCCACTCCACCAGTCCTTTTTTTGTGATGGGTTTTTTCAAGATAGGGTCTTGAAAACTATTTTCCTAGGCTGGCTTTGAACCACAGTCCTCCTAATCTCTGCTTCCTGAGTAGCTAGGATTACAGGCGTGAGCCACCAGCACCCAGCTTTTTTTTTTTTCCAGTACTAAGGTTTGAACTCAGAGCCTTGTGCTTGCTAGGCAGACACTCTATCATTTGAGCCACGCCTTAGCTCTTTTTATTCTAGCTGTTTTTCAGATAAATCTTGGCTTTTCTGCCAGAGATCCTCCTCTCCAAGTAGGATTACAGGCATGCACCCTGTAAAATAAATAAGGCAGTCCCTTATTTATTTTAACATACTTTTAATCAAAATTTTGGAGACGACTCCTCCTTATTTTAAAAAAATAGCTTAGAAGCTGGGCACTGGGGAGACTGAGGTAAGAGGATCATGAGTTCAGGTCAGCCTGGGCTACAGAATGAAACTCTGCCTCATAAAACCAAACCAAAAACACAATTCAGAAGTAGGTGTCAACAACCAAAAGAACAGCAACCAGTAACAAAACCTGCTTTACTGGGAATTTGAGAAACACCGACTTCTTCCCTGGGAACACGACATGGTGGATGATGCTAGAGTGGCTCCCCGCTGGCCATGGTGGAGCCAGGCTGAGGTCATGGGGCTCATGGTCCAGGCCATGCAGATCCAGTCCTGAGAGGGTATCTGCATTTTCTCCCTGCCTGTCCAGGAATCTGAGGTTCTGGGCATTTCCTGGGCCCTTGCCTCAGGATGAGGTCCAAAGCCTGCCCAACCGAAGCTGGCCAGCAGCCCAAATTGAAGTAGCCACCATCATCTGAGGCCATCACCTCAGCTGGAACAAAATGAGTGAGCACCAAAGCATCCCACCAAGGGGACAGCCACTGTGGGTCTGTGCTGCAGTCACACACACACTCACACTCACAAGCAGGGTCCCTGCTGTCATTTCAACTCCTTTGCCATGCCTCTGCTGCTGACGGCTGCTGTTGATAATGGCTACACTTTGACTAGGGGTTGTGCTGCCACCCTGTCAGCTTTGCCAAGGCCTCCCTGATGCTGTCTCCAAGACCTGCAGCTCCCTGACCCCTGACCTCGGGAAAGAGACCATATTCACCAAGTGTCACCATCAGGAATTCACCAGCCATCTGTGAAAGCCCACACCACAGTCCCTCTACAGAGGACTCAGGGTCCAGCTGTGGCTACCATACAGGATTGTTATATGAGAAAAATAAATTGAAAGCCTTTTTTAAAAAGAAGAAGAGGAAGAAGGAAGAAGAAACACCCTTATGGGCTGGAGGATAGCCCAGTGGTAGAGCACTTGCCTCGCATATAAGAGGCCCTGGCTTCATCCCAGTGTCACACACACATGAGGAAGAGGAGAAGGAGGAGGAGGGTGATAAGGAAGGAAGGAGGGAGGGAGGAAAGGAGGCAAGGAAGGAGAGAAGGAAGGAAAAAAAGAAAAGAAATGATCTTATAATGACCTCAAGAACTCATTGAATACAGAATGAATAGAAAATTGTGAATTAGAAATAAGGGCAAAATAGTTTCTGCTGGGTATTGAGGGGGTGGGGGGAGAGGGAGGGGGCGGATGGTGGTAAGGGAGGGGGTGGGGGCAGGGGGGAGAAATGACCCAAGCCTTGTATGCACATATGAATAATAAAAGAAAAAAGAATTGTGTGTGTGTGTGTGTGTGTGTGTGTGTGTGTAAAATTTACACCCCAAGCAGTTTTATTATTAGGAAAAAATGGATTAAAGGGAAATGAATTAAATGTTTAACTGAAAGAGCTAGAGCAATAATTCAAAGAAATCATGAGAAGGGACTTAGTTACACAATCTGAAATTTATTAATGAGAAGGTGAAAAGACAGAGTGAAGATAAAATGAAAGATGGCTGTTTCTTCAGAAGCCAGATGTAGTACGGAAACCCTGCAACCTGATTGAGGATGAAAGAGAGAGTGAAAGTGAACATTAGGAATGGAAGATGGTCAGACTACAGGTAGAGAAGCTCAAAAGAACAATGAGAAAACATTCCAGACATCAGTGACAATAAAACTAGACATCACAGGTTCTTTTTAAGTAAATCATTGTCTTACTCTGTTTTCCACTGCTGTAACAAAATGCCAGAGACTGGTCATCTATAAAGACAAAGGTGAGTGGGACATGGTGGTGCACACCTGTAATCCCAGTACTTGAGAGGAGGCAGGAGGATTGCAACTTTAAGGGCTACATAGTGAGACTTTGTCTTAAAAAAAGAAAAACAAAGGAAAGAAAGGAAAAGAAAAAGAAAAAGCAGAAATGTATTTCTCATGGTTCTGGAGGCTGGGAAGTCCAAGATGGAGGTGGTGGTGTCTGGTGAAGGCCTTGCTGTGCCATCCCATAGCTGTAGGTGGAAGGTCAGGAGAGCCCAAGAGGGCCAGCCAGAAAGAGGGGGCAGAACTCACTTTTATAACAAGCCCACTCTCACGAACCTCCTTAGTACCCCCTTGATAGCAACGTTAGGTCACTCCTCATGGCCTAACCGCCTCTTGTTAGGCCCCACCAAACACTTTCATGTAATTAGGGCTCCAACCCATGAATATTGGGGTGCATTCAATCCATAGCAGTCACTAGAAAGAACAAAACTGACGCAGGAAGAGGTGAAGCGTGGGAGAAGTTTGGACTTCCATCTTAGAGAAGAAAGTTGGTATTTAGGGATGGATGGATGGATGGTTGGATTTTAGATGGTTGAATGGATGGTGGAAGGGATGAGTGGATGGTTGGCTGAAAAGATGGATGGCTAAATCGGATGAATAGTTGGTTGGACAGATAAAGGGATGGATGGATGATTGGATGGATGCATGGGTAGTTGAATAGTTGTATGAATACTTGATGGACAAAAGGATGGATGGGTTGTTGAATGAATGTGGGTGGGTGGATGGATGGATAGAGGGATGGGGTGGATGGGGCTAGAGGGGTGGATGGATGGATGGGTAGGTGGGTGGGTGGATGGATGGATGGGTGGGTGGATGGATGGGTGGGTGGGTGTGTGGGGGAATGGATGGATGGATGGGTGGGTGTGTGGATGGATAGGCAGATGGGAATGTGATCAATGTACAGGTGATTGAATGATAGAGTGGCTAGAAAGGATGGGTGACTGCTAGTTGTCTTGTGTCGTGTTGTTTCTGCTCGCGGTGACACAGGCTCTCCATTGCCTTGCAGCATAAAGCGACCGACCGTGTCTACCTTAATCATGGACATAGCCAACAAGGAAATTTCCTGTGTGGACTTGAAGCCACTGGTAGGTGCCAAACCTTTGCCGCCCCATCTTCTGAGGGAAGCAAGCCTCATGCAAGATAAAGATGATGGCAGTCCTTCCGAGGTGCTGGGGTCACTGCCCTGCTCGTCCCCCAGAGCTGCCCTGAGGACTCACCATCCTCCACGGAAGTGCTGTTCCTTAGTGGTCATCACCGGCATGCACTGGCCAACTCAGGCTAACCAGACCTAACCAGAGAACTGAGAACAGCACACCTCCCCACGGGAACGGGAACGTGCACACGCACGCTCATAGCTCATTACCCATGGCGGGTAGACGAAGGCAAGCCCATTTGCATGGGTGGATGAATGGGGGCTGCACTGTAGCAAACTCACACACGGGAATATCATTCAGTCCTGAACAGGAAGGAGGCTTTGACATGCTACGACATGGGTGGGCTTGACAGTATTTTATCACACTGTGTGTGAGTCCATGATAGGACACGTCAGACAGAAGAGCCCACAGAAATTGGTGGAGCAGGAGAGGGAGTCCATGGTTTTTGCTGGGGGGAGGTTCTGGGTTTGGGGGATTTTTGGCAGTACTGAGGTTTGAACTCAGGTCTTAGTGCTTGCTAGGCAGGTGCTTTACAACTTCAGCCATGCGTCCAGTCTGAGTTCGTGTTTTATGGGGACAGAGCTTCAGTGTGGGGACATGGAAGATTCTGCAGGTGGACGGTGGGGATGGCAGCACAGCCATGTGAGTGCCCAGGGCCACTGAGTTGTGCACTGAAACATGGCTAAGATGGCAGATTTTATGTTATGTAGATTTTACCACAATTTTAAAAATTTGATATGAGTCTTGCATTTCATTCCATAGTAGCTCTGTTTGCCTTAATATAAAACTGTTTTCAGAAACCTTTTTCCTACAGCTTTTGGACTCCGTGTGTAGCTCTGAGGGTGCCCACACCCCAATTTGAAAAGCATGCCCTAAGGCTAGCAAGCAAATCTCCAGTCTCTCCATCTGTCTCTGTGGTGTGTGTGTCTCCCTTTTCTTCTGTCATTCCGGCCCACACGCTCACTCATTTTTCCCTATGGCTTCTGCATGCCAAACACTGTGTTCTGGTCCCCAGAAGTCTCGATGCAGGCAGGGTGGTTGGTACAGGTGCTCCAAGGCCACTGTGGTACCTTGGGCTCTCAGAGTCACGGGGACTTGGGGCAGTGTGGCAGAGGCCTCACTAACAGCACCTCTGTCTCACCCTGCAGTCCATGCTCATTTCTGTCGGCTGTGACCTAACGAAGAAGATTGTCGTGCAGAAGTAAGTGTAGGGAGGGGTCCACGACAGCTTTTGAGGTGGGAGACACTGCATCATTCTGCCTACGTTTGCATATGGTTAACATTCTCGTAATAAAAAGTTAAAAATGAGGGGTGGGGTGCCACCCTGCAGTGAGAGCTTGCGAGCACGCACGAGGCTGTGGGTGCCATCCCCAGCATCTCACCAAAAAAAGTTAGATAATTAATACTGACAGGTGGATTTGGGTTTCCAGCATGTTCGCCTACCCTCCTCCACCTATCTGGTGATATTCACATTTTCCTCCTCCTTCCTAATGGTTTGTTCTTTCTGTTTCTTTCTTTTAGTGTCTTGATTCCTCATTTTGACTAAAATTGCCCAGGATTTTGGTGTTAATCTCTTGCTAAAATGGGGTGGGGGGGGAGGGTTTGCTTCCAGTGTAGCCCAGGAAATGTAGCATGCGAGTGCAAGAAAAAGATGAAGCAAAGCTGAAAATGAGCCAGACGTGGTAGGCAGAGCACGAGGATTGGCAGTTCCAGGCCAGCCTGGGCTACCTTGCAAGACCCTGGCTCACAAAAAGTGAAAGAGAAAGAACAAATAAAAAAGGCGAAAAGATGCAGCAAACTTGCCATCCTTTCCCTCTCAGGCCGTGATGGGCAGGCATGCTGGCACGTGACTTGTGGATGCTGCCACTTCCCACAGTGGAAATGTTCCCCACTGGGCCAGATTGCAGGCCACCAAGCGGAAATTGCCTGGTGAATTCCTGAAGGTTCAGCAGGGCCTCTCGGGAGGACATTCAAACCTCTGACATCTCTTTTGCACCAGGCTCAATACCCTGAGATGGTAATTTTCCCAGGATTTTTTCCAACATAGACAAGTTTATTCAGTTAATGAATTATAACCCAGGTGTGGTTGTACTCCCTGTAATTCCAGCATTCAAGAGGCTGAGGCAGGAAAATTACTTGAATTTAGGAATTTGAGACCAGCCTGGGTAACATAGAGCCCAGCTCAAATGAATAACATGATCTGATGTAACACAATACAATATAATACATTTAAATGTAACATATTTAGGCCTGGCATGATGGTGCATACCTATAATCTTAGCATTCAGGGGGCTGAGGCAGGAGGATCTCAAGTTTAAAGCCAGCCTGTTCTACCTAGAGAGAGACCCTGTCTCAAAAAAACAATAAATAAATTTTAAAAATAAGAAAATAAAGGACCCCATCAATTATGAATAATAACAGCGTATTTTGAGCATTGTGTGCAGGAAAGACTTTTAAAACAACATATAAATAGCTTTTACCATAAAAACAGTGAAATGGCCAGGTGTGGTGCACACCTGTAATCCCAGCACTTGGGAGACTGAGAGAGGAGGCTCTCAAGTCTGAGGACAGCCAGCCTGGGCTACATGGCAAGGGCCCTTTGTCAAAACAGAGAGAGACAGAGACAGATACAGAGAAGACAGACAGAGGAAAAGGCATGTGCCACAAATATAACTGACAAAGAACTTATATCCTAAACTTATAAAGAATTCCACAAGTCAATTTTTATAAAAGAACAAACTGATAACAAAAAAAAATTGACAAAAGGCTTAAAACAGACACTTTCCAAACAAGAAAGAAAGAAAAGAACCTCAAATGGCCGTCAGAAGGGCAGGATTTGCAAAGCCAGCCGCAGCCATACTGTGAAGCACGGGGACCCTGGCAGCTGCCGGAACCCAGACGCTGTTTTGAGGAAAGTCCACTCACGACCCAGCAATTGCCTTCTGCAAATGCAAACTGATGTGTGCTCTAGAATGTTCTTAGTGCATTGGAGGTTTTTTGTTTGAGTGTTGTGTGTGTGTATTTTGCTGTTACTGGGAATTGAACTCACACTTGCTGGGCAAGCACTCTCTTGGTGACACTGTTCTTGTTTTGTCTTTTAATGGGACGGGGGTTTGAACTCAGGGCTTCACACTTGCAAAGCAGGTGCTCTACTGCTTGAGCCACACCTCCAGTCCATTTTGCTCTGGTCATTTTGGAGATGGGGGGTCTCATGAACTATTTGCCCAGACTGGCCTCGAACCACAATCCTCTGGATATCAGCCTCCCAAGTAACTCAGATTACAGGCATGAGCCAAGGCGCCCAGCTAGTGGCATTGTTCTTAGTAACTTCCTTCTTGAAACAATCGTAACAGAATTGAAATATCCACGGACGGCAGAGTGGACAACCCTGTGTGGGGTTTCACGCAGTGCGACAGGAGCAGGGCAGCGTTCCCCGGATGAACTACAAGCGTAAATGTGTATGAGAGCCACGCACACAACCACGTGCAGTGTGGGCTTTAACATTTTTAGTTGGGCCCAAATAAATTATATTTGCGCCTCCATATCTAGGGGCACAACTGGACACAGACTTAAAAGTATTTTTTAAATCACGTTGATGCTGAGCACGCACCCTTTCCTTGCCGTTCTTCTCTGAATCACACAACGTGACAACTGTTTACACTGCATTGTGTAGCAGGGATTATAACTTACTGAGCTATTGTGTACACTGCGCACATTTCACAAGTTCTGCGCGATTCCTACACCGTCTCGTCATGCCAGTAGCCTGAGCATCTGCACTTTGGTATCTGAGGTCCCAGGAGCCGCCCCGCAGATACTGAGGGAAGGTGGTGTACGGTCTGAGAATGCACAGACGACAACAGTGCAAAGGGAAGCAAGAAACTGTGTGTCAGGGTTGGGATGTGGCCCAAGATAGGGCTGCCCAGCAAGCACAAGGCTCCGAGTTCAAATTCTAGCACTGCAAAAAAACCAAAAAAACTTGAACTATTTTGTCTCCCAAGTCAGGATCGCCAGCATTCTGGTCTTGGTATATAACATCTGCCCACAAGGAACCAGGTCTCCTGGGAGAAGTGACTGTGCTATATGCTGGGCAGGGAGCACCTCGGAGACCCAGAAAGTGAAAATGTGCTCAAAACCACTCCAAGGGCGAGGTGTTCAAGGGACACCGATCCAGCTGGAAGAGACCTCAGTGACCAAAGCCAGCACAGTTTGAGCCACAAAATAAACTAAGGAGGGCGGGGCGCCAGTGGCTCACACCTGTAATCCCAGCTACTCAGGAGGCAGAGATCAGGAGGCTCGCCATTGGAGGCCAGCCCCTGCCAAATAGTTTGAGATACCCTTCCTCGAAAATAACCAGAGCAAAGTGGACTGGGTGTGTGGCTCAAGCGGTTGAGTGCCTGCTTTGCAAGGCACCTCTGAGTTCAAACCCCAGTTCCACCATAAGAAAAAAAAAAATAAGGAAAGCTAGGGAATCCCCCCCAACACAATGCAGTGTATCCGGGTCATTTCCTACCCTCCCAAGGCAGGATTGGGGTCACCCACACCCTTTCATCCTGGCTCCTGTGCAGGTGGGGGTTCTCCCCCTCCACCCTCGTGAGGCTGGGCAGCGTCTCACCATCTTCTCTAACTCACAGCAAAATTTCTGCCTGCACCAAGGGCATCCTAGACCCCGTGGATCTGCAGAGAAACTACACCTACATCATCGAGAAGTAAGAGCAGTGCATCAACCCTGTCCACCCCAACACTCCCCTCCCGCCCTCCCAGGGAGGCCATGGCTGGCATGCGCCATGGGCAGGTCACCAGCCAGGCGGGAGAGAAGCCTTGTGGGGTGGGGGCTAGGGAGGGAGGTGGAGCCCCGAGTGAAGAGCCTACTGTGTGCTCACCACGGATTACAGGTGTGGCTACCACGATGGCCTCCTTGGATTTTTTTTTTTAAGACACTGATGGCTTTCTTGAGATCACCTCCCCACATGTCTGCGCTGGGAAAGACTGGGTTTCACCAAGGCATTTGGGGACATAAACATTCAGAAGTGTGGTAGTATTCTCCAGAGAAGTTAGTGGAACAGGCTGTGCGTCACACACAGAAATACAGCCTGCTCAGTATCACGGTTTCCCGTCATCTGGATTCAACCAACCATGGATCAAAAACATTGGGAAAAATTGCATCTTCTCTGAACATGTACAGTCTTGTCATTGTCCCCTTATCACTGCAGTGGAGCACTGTGCCAGGCATCAGGAATCATCTGGAAAGGATTTAAAGTATGGGAAGTGGCACCCAAGTTCTATGTAAATAGGGTGCCACTGTGTAAATAAAAGGGGCCGAGTACCTGTGGATTTTAGTGTCCCCTGGGGATCCTGGATCCACTTCCCCTAGACTCTGAGAGGTGACTGTAGATGGAGAGAGAGACAGAGAGATTCGTTGATTTTAGGGAATTGGCTCGGTCAGTTGCAGAAGGCTGGTATATTCAAGATACGTAGCTCTGTCCCCCTAGTCCCAGCTGGACTCCTACAAGACTGGGCAGTTTGAGCCCCATGACCGTCTGCTGCAGAATTTTGTCCTGTTCATGGGAGTGGGAGATAGGGCTAGGTCAGTCTGCTCTGTTCAGGATGGCCACTGATTGGATGAGGCCCACCCACAATGTGAAAGGACATGGGCTGGACTCAGAGTCTGTTGGTTTAAATGTTAATCCACTCAAAAACAAAACAAGCAAAAATTACCTTCACAGAAACAGCCAAATCCTGTTTGATCAAGAGCCTAAGCTGAAACAGGAGGTTACAGAGTCTTTTGGACCATGGTTCCGAGTGCTCCAGCCCCAGGTGTCAGCTCCACTCTCTCACACAATCCCCATTTGCGGCTGCTTGGCACCTGGGCGGGAACTTATCCACCTGTCTCTGGCCTGATCTTTCAAAGGGAAGCCTATGACCCCAACTTCCTTGGGCATAAGGCCACCAATGACCTGTTCGTGGTGTACCCGTACAAGGATCTAGGCTGCCCTCGCCTTGTTTACTTCAACACCCCGTGGAAGCCCGTGCTGGAGCTGTAAGAGCCCCACTTCCCTCCCGTGGGAGCCACGCTTTCCCCAGCTCGTCCCTGACCCCAACCCACCCAACCTCCTCCTAGCCCTTGCTGGCTGCGCCTCTCCCTGGGGTGTTGTGTCTCTTCTCCATTCAGCCCTCAGCTGGGACAGCCACCCCCTTCCCCCACTGTCCTTTTCTGCTATTCCACAGCATGGGGACAGTGTCTTCCAGTCTCTGCTCCTTGGGCTCCTTCTCAGACGAGACTTCTCTCCCCAACCTGTGCCAAATACCTGCCACCCTGCCCTGTCGCCTTAGTCCCACTCAGTGAAGTGGGGACCCTTTGCTGCCCCACACCCCCAGTGGTTTTCCTCACATCACTTGGGGCACCCCACAGCCTGGCCCTGTGCGTGTCTCAGGTGGCAGGAGGAAGAGATGAAGGAGATCGTGGACGCTGAGTATGTGCTCGTGGAGGTGAACGGGCTGTTCACATATTCCTACTCGCTGACAGCTGACTCAGCGCACTGCAGATCACAGCCTCAGAACTGGTCCTCCATGAAGCAAGAGAAGCCCAGCTTCACTTTCACCACCTGGAACAGGGAGGTGAGCCTGTTTCCAAAACGCCAGCCAGTGACCCATTACGGCAGCAGGAGGGATGAGTGGGCGCCCCCAGCTCTGTGCCCAGAGCTGCCTGGGACACTTGACAGTGGGGCTGAGTTTGGGATCAGAGGCTGAGGCAGGAGAATTGTGAGTTCAAGACCTGCCTGGGCTATGTAGTAAGACCCTATATCGAAAAAAAAAAAAAAATCCAAAGCCCTTCTGGGGGGGGACAAGTTCTTTGGGGGTCTGTCCCAAGGGAATTGGTCAAACAACAGGAAATGGAGGCACCAGAGTGTCCATGCGGCTCTGCTGATGACACCATCAGCCTGGGCCCTTCCTGTGCCCATCTTGAAGGGGTGGAATAAACTCATCGTCTGCTCCACTCCATGAGTGCTTCTGTAATGCCAGTTGGTTCATCCAAGGTGGACAAAAAGGGACGGTGTCCATGTGCTACAGGATTTGTGTTGTGGCTTCTCTGGACCCATTCAACTTTTGCATCCGCTAACGTTGGTCAGGCACAGGGCAGGCACCCTGCAGTGGACAGTGGCCGCCAGCAGAGGGTGCTCGCTCCCACACGTGATGTCCATGCTGCTCCATCGCCCTGGATTTTTTTTTTTTTTTTTTTCCCTCCACTTGAGCTGAAGCTGGAGCCCGTCTTGCGCTCATTTCTTGCGTCTGCTTTCTGGTGGGATTTGTTATTGTTTTTGTTGCTTGTCTTTTTGTGTTTATGAGACAGGGTCTCACTCTGTAGGATTAGATAGACATGCAACACCTTACCCCTCTTGTGTTTGCTCTGTCAGCAGAGCTGCCTCACTCCTTCCCCTTCCGTCAAATCAATCTGGTTATTCATTTTATTGTGCTGGTTACTGTTGGTTTCACTTTTTAAAAAAGAAATAGCAAAAAGGGCTGAAAGTGTGGCTCAAGTAATAAAGCACCTGTCTAGCAAGTGCGAGGGCCTGAGTTCAAATCCCAGTGCCAAAAAAGAGGTGAAAATCATATAACATGCAGTTAACCATTTTAAATCATGCAACTCCATGACATCTAATGCACCCACAGTGCAAATTCCACCTCTGATCATTTTTTCTGTGTGTGGAACTGGGGTTTGAACTCAGGGCTTCACACTTGGAAAACAGGCGCCCTACCGCTTGAGCCACACTTCCAGTCCATTTTGTTCTGTCTATTTTGGAGATGGGGGAGTCTCAAGAACTATTTGCCCAGAGTGCCCTTGAATTGTGATCCTCCCAAACCCCACCTCCTGCATGCTGGGATTACAGGCATGAGCCACAGTGCCTGGCTACTTCCCTGGTTGTTGTTTGCAAGTCTGGCTCCCTCCTTCCTGGGAGGTCTGTGGGCAGATAACATGAAAGACTAGTCAAGAGGCATATGTCGTGGGGGTGAGGGCAGCAGGGTGGATTTTGGGTCACATTGGGCTACCTTGTGCAAGTCTGGAAGGAAAGCACTTCAATGCTTCTTCTGCGTACAAGTGCAGAGTGAGCCTGCCAAGGCAGTCTGCTGAACATGATAGGGAATGACCAACTCACTAAGCTGTCACTGGACTGGCTGAGCTACGTGCAGGAGTCCCAGAGCTGATGTCAAAGCAGGTGCCAGGTTGCTGCCACCTTCACCAAGAGCAGGGCTCCGAAAGCCAAGGCTGGGCTGTCTAGTTCTAGGTCATTCTTTCAACCTGTAAACAAAGCTCTGGAATCTGAAGACAGGGCAAATGACTGCTGCCACCTCACCAGCTCTGTGCCCACGACCTTGCCTGGCACCAGTGGCAGCAAAAAACCTCCCTTGTGCAAGTTTCCACGTGTGCGAGTCTGGTCAGCCACAGAACAGTGCACCACAGTCTGGGTGGCCCAAACACCAAATGCTGCTTCTTCCTCAATTCTGGCAGCCAAAGTCCAAGGTTAAGATGCTGGCAGAGCTGGCCCCCGCTGAGGTGGTAAGCCAGAGCCCATGCCAGGCCAGTCCCAGCGTCTGTGCTGGCCAGGGATCGGCGACCTTCCTTGGCTTGTAGAAGCATCGCCTGTCTCTGCCTCATCTTCCTATGATGCTTGCTCCCCTGTATGCACCTGTGTCCAAATGTCCCCTTCCATAAGGACACGAATCATGTTGGATTAACACCCACCCCAGTTACCTCATTTTAACTGAGCTGCCTCTAAAAAAAAATCTGCTTCCAAATAGGGTCTTATTTTGAGAATTTCACCATATGATTTTGAGGTCCAGGTCCCTCACATCCTGACGCACACTCAGGCTGAATCTGATAAGTGGTGAAGCCTCCAGCTGAGGGAGGCCCCAGAGGAGGAGGCTGGGTGGAGGCCAGGATGAAACTTGTCCACCCATGGGCTTGGTGAGGGTGTGGTGGGAGGGCTTCAAAAGACGGAGAAGCCAGTGCCAGTTGATTCACCTCTGTCACCTCCAGAACTATATCAGCTGTCACGAGCACAACAAGGACATGCCTTTGAGGTGGCCGAATGCCGAGTATCAGGTCTTGGGAGGCAAGACGGACAATGAGATCATTTTTGATCAGAGAAACGGGATCTACATCTTCTATCTGTCCATCGTGGATCCGTACTACAGGTGAGCGGGCCAGCCTCAACCGGGCACAGCCACCTGGGGAGCACAGGCAGGGGACATGGCTTTCTCCCTCTCCCTCTAGGGATCCTGGCTAAAGCTACATTTTCCCCAGCAGCCACAGTATTTTAAGTTCTGGGTGACATTTTTGCTCACTTTGAAATGCAGTCGGCCCTCTATCCGCGGGTTCCCCATCCCCACTCTGCCGCCCCTGGATAGAAAATATTTGGAGAAATCACATCTGTCCTGAACACAGGTAGACTTTTTCTTGTCATTATTTCCATTATTTCCTTTTTCTTTCTTTTTGTGGCACTGGGGTTTGAACTCAGGGCTTCTCACCTGCACACCAGGTGCTCTACCACTTGAGCCACACCTCTAGTCCATTTTTCTCTGGTTATTTTGGAGATAGGGTCTCAAGAACTATTTGCCTGGACTGGCCTTAAACCATCATCCTCCTGATCTCAGCCTCCTGGGCTTTTTCATTATTTCCTAAAGGATGTAGTGTGATAACTATACATAGTCTCAGCATTGTATTAGGTGCTGTGAGCTGTCTAGGGATGACATAAGGTCTATGGGAGGACAGTGCACATCCTCTGCGAATATGACATCCCGTTACATAGGGACTTGGACATCTGTGGGCTTCAGTGTCCATAAGGGGGTTTTGGAACCAATGACATGAGGACATGCGGATTTCTCATTCCACACTGGGTGCTGGGAGAACAGTAGAAACCAGCAGCTGCATCCTTGTCATTGTCGTGGCCCAGCATGACCCTTGCCTGCCTCCACTGGTTGGGTGCATTGCCCACAGTGTCCTGCCAGGGTCAGGTCTCCCCAGCTCACACACAGGAGCAACTAGTCAGGAGCCTTGAGGGCCGGTCCATCGGTCCATGTCCCATTAGTGGTTTTGATATCAGCCATGGTGGGTATATTGTCCCTGCTGAATTTGGTCGGTGCCCCTCTGGCAGTCCTTTCCACTCAGAACTGCTTGCTAAGTGCTCAGTGCCAAGGGTGCTGGGCAGGTGCTGGGGCCACATCAGACAGCTGGTGATCTGTGAGTGAGGGGGATTTGGGAATGACGTCCTTGGCAGCTGTCACCATGGATAAACCCCCACTCCAGGCATGTAGAGACTGACTTCCCTGGGGACCGGCACTGGGAGCCCTGAGGTGGGACCATCCAGAAGAGAGAGGGAATAGACTGTGAGCCTTGTCCCCTTCTTTCCCTATCACCCCTTTTCCCAGGCCATGAGGCCAGCACCATGCATGGGGCCATCCTTCTGAGACACTCTGCTATCCTGTCTTGTCACCCATGCCATGGAGACCTGTGACCCTGTGCCCTGGCTCCACACTCTGGGGTTTGAGCTTGTTGCCTAGGACATCCCACCATTGGCGCTACCTGTGTACGGGGCCTACCCCCTGCCCATTGTCCCGCCGGAAGTCACCATCTTCCTGTTGGTGAGCACCATCCTCCTGGCGGTGTGGCTGGCCCACATGGTCCCCAAGATGCTGCGCACAGAGAGGGGCCACCGCTTCCAGGAGCTGCTCACCTGGCTGAGGAGCCGCTGCTGCTCGCTGTGCCGCTGCTCCTGGATCTGGCACTTGCTGCGCCGCCCAAGGGGCCAGGGAGCCCCCCAGAGCAACCCCGAGTGCAGCTGAGTGGGTCCCGTCACCGCAGTCCCCCCACCAAAATAAACCCTTGGGTAACAAAGCAGGCAGTAAGTGTATGAGCTGCCATGATTCCCCGCTTATGGTATGGCACGGAGCCAACCTGGGCCTGCCCTGCCTTTCCTGCCAAATTCACAAGAAAAATTCATGCGGAGTCTTGTGTGTTCTTTTGGTTTTGGGGGGTTTTTGCCCAGCTGGCCTAGACTGCGATCCTCTTACGTGTGCCTTCTGTGTACCTGGGATCACAGGTGCGCACACAGCTTGTTGGTTGAGATGAAGTCTTGGTAGCTTTTTGCTGGGGTTGGCCTGGAGCCATAATTCTCCCAATGTCTGCCTGGGATTACAGGCTTGAGCCACCACTCCCAGCCTAATGAATCCCTTTCAAAGGTAGTTTGGCAGACCCGACGCAAACACATCCAGGGACAGAGTGGTGTGTGTATCAGGCACGGACCCCAGCCACACCCTTGCCTGTCTTGCCCTCATGGTAGTTCTGTTGCGTAAAGTGATAAGGTGGCCGCAGACACCGAGTTTGCCACTGCTTGATGGGCATCTTCCAGAAACATTTCCGAGCCACTGTGCTCAGGAGACAGAAGCAGGAGGATCATGAGTTCCAGGCCAGCCTGAGTTATGTAGTAAAATCCCAGCCAAAAACCAGAATGGCTGAAGTTGAGGCTCAGTGGCAGATCACTTGCCTAGAATGTGAGAGGCCCTGGGTTCCATCCCTAACATGTGAGTCCAGCCACATACGCACAGGCACATCCATAGACATTTATGGTGTCTGTGTGCAGGTGTGTTTTGGCAGTACTGGGGTTTGAACTCAGGGCTTCACGCTTGTTAGGCAGGCACTCCATCACTTGAGCCACACCACCAGCCCCCATAGACATTTAAATTGTTCTTTTGGAAACCTCCACATCCATCCGGAGCTGGGTGATGTCCAGGTGGTCACACAAAACCTTCACCCTGCTGGGCACTGGTGGCTCACACCTGTAATCCTAGCTACTCAGGAGGCAGAGATCAGGAGGATCGCGGTCCGAAGCCAGCCTTGGCAAATAGTTTGCAAGACCCTGTCTCAAAATATCTCATCACAAAAAAAGGCTGGTGGAGTGGCTTGAGGTATAGGCCCTGAGTGCAAACCCCAGTGCCAAAAAAAAAAAAAAACCTTCACCCTGCCCTCTCCAGGGTCACCGTCCCATGGGACTGATGCTGCAGACAGGATGCCACTCTGTAGCCGCCCAGGCCACAGGTCATCCCCAGGTCCTCTGCCTTTCTCCTAGGTTTTACGTGATGCAAGTCATTTCTCAGATGTTTGGCAGGACTCCTTCCGATCCTTGCTCTACACTCATCTTTTTCTCTCCCCCTTTGTGCTGGGTGCAGGCCAGGCAAGTACTGCACCACTGACTCATGCCCACCGCCTCCCATTAATCTGGGGGAACAGGGCCTCGCTATGTTGCCCAGATTGGCCTGGAACTTTCGGTACTCCTGCCTCAGCCTCCCAAGTGCTGGGATGACAGGAGCCACTATGCCCCGCTCCCCACAAATCTTAAAAGCAGCACAGTCCTAGTCCCTAGCGCCCAGCTTCTCCTTTGTCAGATGCCCCTTGGTTTGGGACATTGGTTTTAGTCTTGAGCAGCCCTACTGAGGCTCCAGGGAGAAGGGGCCCAGGGGCTCCCGGGGAGGCTGGCTGGAGCCTCTCCAAGCCTGGGTCCCACAAGGGACAGGAGGATTTGTAGGGGAGTAAGATGCCCAGAAGGCACCCAGAACAGTCCCTGGGACAGAGGTTCCACTGCCCAAGTGGCCAGGAGACATTGTCGTCAGGTCTCTAAGCTTTGGAGGAAAGGTTTGGAGAGGAGCCACGGATGACCTGTGGCCCAGGCAGAAGGAGGTATCCCACACTGCCCTTCCATCTCCTGGGTTCAGGCTCCCAAGGAGTCCCCCAGAACAGCCCCTGGGGGACATTTCAGATCCCCAAAATGAAGATCCCAGGCCCCAAGAGATGCAGTCGGGCCTGGGACAGGGTCCTCCACCCCACTGTTCCTCTGCAAGGGGAAAAGAAGCCATGTGGTCCAGAGCAGTAACCTTGGAGGGGCACTCCATGTACTTGGCTTCTATGGGGGCTCCAGGGGAAGCCCCACCAAGGTCACCTTGAGCAGGACAGGTGAGGAGGGTATGACTGGCACCAGCCCAGACTTTCTAAGGGTCAGGCAGGTGAAGACCTGGACAGGCAGGAGGTGGTGGCGTGAGCTGTGAAGGACACCAACATGTGTCCCTGGTCCCTGGAATGCCCAGCCTGTGGTGTTCCAGGCCTGGTGGGGACACTTGCCACTGGGGGCTTAGCCAGTGCCCGCCCTCCCCCTCCTGTGTTCGTCCCTCTTGTGCCTTGCTCTGCTGAGCATCTGCTTTCTGTGTGAGGGCTGTCCCCACCTCCTGCATCCCTGACCCAGCAGCACTCAGACCAACAGAGTGCTCCACCAGCACCCACCGCTGTCTACCAGAGTGATAGTCACCCTTCTTATTGGTCACCTGCAATGAGGCAGCGGTGACCTCCCCAAGGCTTTGGGGTATAGGGTTGAGCACTGCCATCCAGAGCCTGCCTTGGTTGCTGTGTGACTTTAGTCAAGTTTCTAACACTATCTGGGCAGCTTTGATTCTTATCACCGAATACAGAGGTAAAACTGCTCTCAGTGCAGGTGTCAGGCACTGGCTCCCACTTCCCAAGAAGCCCTACTCCTGCTGGTCACCCTGAGTTTGGGGAGCTGATTCCTGGTTCCTTGGCTTGGCTCTAGAAATCTGAGTGCTGAGTAGCCTGGCCTTACCGTGCAATTTGTCACAGTCCTGCCCATCCACCAATGAGGCAAGGGGACAGACATCCACACACAGCTACTGCCCCAAGGCCACCAAAGGTTCACAAGCTAGAGATGAAGTGTGCTTTAATGTGGAGACAGCTCCCGGGGCCGGCCGGGCCCGTGGGCAGCACTGGCCAGGCCTGCAGCCTGCTTGGCCTTGCCGCCCGGCTTCCCCTTCTTGGCAGATGAGGTGGCTTTTTTCTTTCCCAGTGTGCTGGACCGCAGGACAGGGGCCACTACGTCCATGGCAGAGGGCCCCGGACAGGGCCGGGGCTCCTCGTCCAGGGCCTTGAAGTTGAAAAAGTAGTCCACATTGGACACCGTGTCCAGGATCTCGGGCACACTGTAGTCAAAGGAGAGCAGCTCATCTGGCAGGTGCAGGGTGCGGATGTTGCTGGTGGAGTCGTCCCCGCCGCCGCTGCTATCAGGCAGGGCATCAGGCAGGGCAGCCTGGGGCTCGGTACCGCCTGGCAAACAGTCGAAGAGCCTCATGGCGTCCTCCAACAAGACCTTGTCAGGCAGGACAAAGGCCCGCGCTGCCTCGGGGCCCTTGGCCTCGCCGGTCCCCAAAGGGTTGGCCTCCTCCGCCTCTGCCACCTTGGGCTCACTGGGCCCCAGAGGGTACTGCAGACTGGGCCCCGCCCTGCCTCCACCCTGCAGTTCCTTGGCGGGGAATGCCAGGGGCTCCACAGGCCATGCAGCCACCTGGGGCCCTTGGGACTGGTGGATGCGACCCTTGAGGTGGCCATAGGTGATCAGTGGCAGGGCTGGCTTACTGTCCTTGGGAGCGGGTGGGGGCATCAGGCTGTCCTTGAGCATCTCCACGAAGCCAGGGGGGCCCCCGTCCCCCCTGAAGCCCAGGGGCCCTGGCCCAGGCCCCTCGGGCGGGAAGTAGGGCATGACGTACTGCGGGCCCCCGGGCGCTGGCTGGTAGTGGGGGTCTGGCAGGGGTGGCCCTGGTGCCTTGAGGTAGGGCTGGGTCTCTAACACGTAGCCGCCTGGTGAGGCAGGGCCCCCAGCTACTGCCAGCCGGTACAGAGGTGCCTGGCCAAAGTCAGGTGTAGCCCACTCGATTCTGTAGATGCGGGGGTCGAAGAAGCAGCCACACGGTGCCATCTGGAAGCCTGTGGGCGGTGGCCGGTGGGGGCTCCCTGAGGGCAGCCCTGCATGGGCAGCACAAGTTGCCTGGTTGCACCTTGCCTTTGGGACTCATTTAGGGAACAAGACACATAGACCTTGCTCAGGGTCCTATCTGGAGGGTGGGGACACAGCTTTATCTCTGCAGCTGTTGGTGAGGGGGAACAATGGCCCTGGCCTAGGCGTTGGCAGACCTGTTCGGGGATGGGGCACACAGTTCTTGTCTGTAGTGAGCCTCAGAGGTGATGTGGCACATGAGCTCTACTGTAGGGGGGCAGTGTGTGATATGGGACACGGGCCCACCTTTGAGGTCACAGCTGGGGACGGGGACAGGGGCAGGACAGGCCCTCGCAGGGCCCGTGGGCACCCTACCTGCTGGAGGGGCGGGAAACACCTCCTTCTCCGGGTTTGGGGGCTGACATGGCCGGTTCGAGGAGGCTGTGGACAAAGGAGCCACGGGCAGGTGCTGAGCTGCAGGAGGGGGGTGCGGGGCTGAGGCCATCGGATGCCCCCGCCTGTGCCCCCATCGTACCCACAGCAGGGAGAGGCTCAGGACCGGCAGGGGTGGGCCCCTCAGTGCTCTCCAGGCCCTGAGCACTGAGGCCTTCCTGGGAAGCGGTGGAAGGGTAGAAGGGTTTGGGGTGCTGCATGGAGGGACAGGCTGGCCTGGGTAGGCCAGGGGGCATCAGGTGGGAGCGGAGACGGCCAACCTGGAGAATAGGGGCAGAGTCCTGCCAGGTTCTGTTTGCCCCGTTGCCATGGGCAGCAGGTTCCAGGCCAAGAGCTGGCCACTAGTCAGGTTCCAGGGTGGGGGTGGGTGGGAGGCCTGGGCCAGGTCCCTGACCTTGGCCTCTCTGAGCAATAGTGTCCTCACTGCTCCCAGGCCACCTCCTGGCTGGCTGCCTAAATCCACAGCTCTGTGGCCAAGCCACACTCTGCAGGCCATAGGCACCTTTGTTCTCCAGACCTCCGTGGGCAGCAGCCTGCAAGGCAGCCAGACGTGTGAAGACAGAGTGAGTGTGTGGAGAGGAGCTGTGGGGACCAGGGAGTCACAGACACGCTCTCAGAGGACTGGGAAGGGGAGCCCCACAAGAGAAAAGCCAGCATTTGTGGGCATGGTGGCCACACCTGTGACCCTGGCACTCAGGAGGCTAAGGCAGGAGGACCTCAAGTTCCAGGTTACCTGGGCTACATAGTAAGACCTGTCTCAAAAAAAGAAAGAAAGAAAAAAACATTCCAAGATTTATAAGAATAAAGTTTATTGTCTCCTGTGGCCATCAGGTGGCTACTTGTACGCGTTGGCCTTGTGCTTGGGAAGGAAGATGAAGTTGGGTGGCACGGGCCCCAGCAGCATCTCGCTGTGGAGAGGAGAGGGGTCAGGGGTCAGCCTGGGCACCTGTCCCATCTTGTCCTGTCTGCAGGCCCCACCCTGGTACCTGATGCGGATCCAGTCGGCTGCCTGCTGGCTTGCCATGAGCGTCTCCAGGTAGTCGCGGCCCAGGTAGTAGGGCGGCCGTTCGTTGATCCGTTGCGGGAGCCGCTCCAGCAGGCCGACAGGCACATACCTGCACGTGCAAGCCAGTGAGGTGGGCCCTGCGGCTCCTGCCACCTGCCCGTCCTTCCCCTGCCCTCCTGGCCCGCCTGTGCCCACCTGCACAGGAAGGACAGCCACTCGAGCAGGAAGCGTCGTGTCTTCTCCACGCCCTGAGTATCGGAGCCCCAGTGCTCCAGGCCATGGTGCGTGAAGTCCCTCAGGATGTCTAGGCGCTCAGACGACGAGATGTCCCAGTGCCGCTGCTCCTTTATCTCCGTGAACAGCCAGGGCTTCAGCAGGGCACCACTGCAAGAGTGTCAGCCAGGTCTAGCATGGAGCCAGGGCAACCCTGGGTCCAGCATACCCAGCGTCCACCTGGGCCACCTTAAGACCCAAGACTTTGTTTGGTGTTTTGAGCCAGGGTGTCACTGTGTAGCAAAGGCTGGCCAGATCCTCCTGTCTCTGCCTCCGAGTGCCGGGGTTATGGACAGATGCCACCACATCTGGCATGGGCCAGGATTTCCAACCCAACCCACAGCACTCCCATCCCTAGATCTATGGCTGTGGAAATGTCCAACCCCCTTACCCCCACCATACCAGCTGCATGGTGCCAGCTGGGGCAGTCAAGCGGGGCTTCAGCCGCCCCGGAGGCCATGGGGAATTTACCGGCCGATCATGATCCCAGAGACGCCAGTCTGCATGGCACGGTTGGCATCCTCGTATGACAAGATGTCCCCGTTTCCTGAGGGGACAGAGACTGGGTCTCAGGAGCGAGACAACAGCACAGCGCCCACCAGCTGTGGTGGGAGTGGCCTTGGGTGACATGGGGATGGGGAGGAGGCTCCTGGGGCACCCACCAAACAGGGGCATGGGGCTGGCGGCCTTTGCGCACTGTTCGATGTACTGCCAATCGGCCAGCCGGGTGTAGCGCTGCTCCCGAGAGCGGCCGTGGAGCTGGGGGCGATGCGGGGTGTGGGGACAGAGGCAGAGAAGGAAACAAGGAGAGAGAGACCAAGAGGGACGGGCTAGGGGATGGGCAGAGGTGGGAGAGACGGGCGGGGAGGGTGGGCAGACCAAGAGCAGGGAGGGGAGAGAGGCTGTCAGGAGGTGACTCCGGGGACCCCCGGACCCTGAGCCCGACCCACCCAGAGCCCCACCGTGACGAGCGCGGCGCCCCAGCCCCGCAGCTCGGGCAGCAGGCGGTGCGCCAGGCTCACACGCTCCTGGACACCGGTGCGGATCTTCACAGTGAGCGGCACATCCAGCACCTGCAGGGACAGAGTGTGTGGGCGGCAGAGCTGCTGGCTGGGCGAGGCAGGCAGAAGGGGACATTGCTGGTACCTGGTTCATGCCCCGCACAATCTGCTGGAACTTGGCCGTGCGGTTCATTAGTGCGCAGCCGCCGCCCTGGGGAGACAGCAAGCTGGGACCCCTGCCACAGCACGTGCACCTGCACACACCCAAGTCCCATCCCTCACACTCTGCCACCTGGCTCAGCACCTCACTGTGCAGATGGGGAAACCAAGGCAGCCACCCCGCTACCTTCTTGTACACAAGGTCAATGGGGCAGCCAACGTTGATGTCCACGAAGTCCACATCGATCGTGCGGTTCAGCAGCTCGGCACACTTGGTCATGGTGTCAGGGAAGGCACCCTCCAACTGCAGCAGGCAGAGAGAAGTAGGCGAGGGGCATCGTGGCCCACCAGGGGTCCTCTGCCCCAGCCTCAACACAGCCAATGCCCTTGGACATGGCTGTCACCATGACTGGGCTATCACAACGCCCCATGGGACAGGCCAACTCTGAACCTGGCTCCAGGGGTCCCTCCTCCCTCGGGTGGATACTGACCTGGACTCCGAAGATGTCCTCACACTGGTGACGTTTGAGCAGGGCCCACTCAGACATCTGGCCCTGCAACAGGTTGGTGCACACGGCCATCTCCCCGCACGTCACGTCAGCCCCAAAGCGCTTACAGATGCGACGGAAGGGCAGGTTCCCACACTAGGGGTGAGGGACACTCAGGCCTGAGGGCTCCCTGGCAGGGACCCAACACCCACTCCAGCCCCCAGTCCAAGCCCAGCAGGCAAGACACTAGGCACCATCAAGGTGACCACAGAGTCAACCAGCCTCTCCACCCTGCCATTTGCCGGGCTGGGTCCTACCGTGGTGAGCGGGGCCAGGTACAGTTTGCCGCTAATGTCCAGCTGCAGGGGGAAAACAGTGAGACCAGACAGCCCAGAATGGCTGGCGAGACCTCTCAGGCCTCTCTTCTCCCTGGTCTATGGCATGCTCTTCCCTGGCCTGCTGGCCTCTGCTCGTGCCAGTCAATCCCTCTTCATTGCACATTCCAGCTCTCCACCCCAGCCCTGATCCTCTAGGATTCAGTGTATTCAGCTCTTATTGTCCCTCCAGACTGGGGTTCGCTGAGAGCTGGGCCCAGGGCAAGAACAGAGAGGAAGTCTTAGCTGGGGCCTCTCTAGGACACAGCTGATTCCCAGGGGTCTAGAACAGGAATGTGGACATCGCTGGGCAGACATGTCTGCTATGGCATTGTCCCTAACTGGGAGCCAGGGGCACGTACCCGCTTCTTCTCACAGGGTCGCAGCCGGACCACGTCCTCATCTGTCAGGGGCCCACAGGTCCATCCGGGGCTGCTGGGCGGGGTACCAGCTCCCAGCCCTGCAGGGTCCAGTGGGGTGTCACAATTGTTCTGTTCAGCAGCACCAGCGGCCACTGGGACCTCGGGGATGGCAGCAGCAGCAGGCACGGGGTCCTGGCTGAGCTGGCGCAGGGCCTGCTCAGCTTTCTGAAAACAGACCTGGCGCTTGCGCAACTGCTGCTGCAAGGCCTTATCCAGGCTGTTACGCACAGAGGGTGCAGCCCCTGCCTGGCGGGCCAACAGTTCCTCCTGCACCAGGTTCTCGCCCTTGGGCCCCAGGTGTGCACTGGCGAAGCGGCAGGTAACACCGTAGGGGCACCTGCCATTGGTCTCAAAGAGAACGCAACAGGGGCCCAGGTCGGCAGGCTTGGTCTCCAGGTAGCGGTCCACATCATGTAGGAAGCGACAGCGGTCACCAAAGAAACAGTGAGCGGCTGGCTCCTGAGGGAAACAGAGGATATGAGGAAGCTGTAGGGGATTCCACATCCCACCCCATAACCTCACTGTGCCTCAGTCTCTCCATCTGTAAGATGAGCAAGAAAGTGATTCAGGTGCCTCCTCCACTTTCACCATCATAAGCGGAAAGCACTGGAAGTCAAAACTGCATCTAATAGACCTGACCCGCTGCACACCCTAGCCTGGCTACACAGCGCACCACCAGGGCCATTATTCACCCAAGCATGATATCTGGGACTGAGTGTCACATGACCAGTGCTGCTCAGCACTGAAAGAGTATCACATGGAAAACCCAGCATGGTGGCTACGCCTGTGATCCCCGCACTCAGGAGGCTAACGCAGGAGAGTCGCAAGTTCCAGGACAGCCTGGACTGCATAGTGAGACACTGCCTGAAAACAATACACACAAAAACTCCTCATTGCATGTTACTAGCCTGGAAAACAGCAAAATTAAAAGTAAGGCCACTACTAAGGATGTATAGCTTCATCATCTAAAAGTCAAGATATTCTAAGTTAAGCCATCAGAAGTTGGGGACTATCTGTCCTTGTGTCCTGACAGTGATTATGAGGATTGAGTGGGGACAGAGACCCAGACTGAAGCCCTGGGGAACTTTGGCAGGGGCCTCAGCTCACCTGGATCAGGGAGGGGCAAAGCCTGTTCTTGTCATAGTGCATGGGCTTCATGTGGGGCCGGCCCTTGTTCTGTCCCCGGGCCCTCTTCTGAGCCTGTGGCTGCTCCCGGGGCTCTGCAGTGTGCTCGGTCCACCCATCTTCTGTCTTCCCGTCCTCCAGCCGGATCCTCTTGGCCTGAGGCTCAGCCAGGACATTGCCATCAGGGTCTGCTGCCTCAGTTTCCCGGTGGAGCTTCTCCTGCCCTTTGGCTTCTAGAATCCGTGGAACTGTTCCTTGGTGGTGCGGTATCTGCCCGCAGAGAGCGAGAGAAAAGGGGGTTTGTCCAGGGAGTCCCTCCTCAGAGCTCCGTCTCAATGGACGCTAAGGAGAAAGGACTGGAACGTCTTGCTTAATGCTTCTACTGAACGGAAGTTCGCTACTTAGAAACCAGCCAGCTCCCAACCGTAGAGCATCTTAAGGTCAAGAAAGAACACCTATTTTTTGTCCCTAGATTCCCATTGCCCACAGCGTTGTGCTCACCTACAGATAAAAAGGGGTAACTACAAGTCCCAGCATGCTCTGCAGCGAAGGCCACCCCGTCGCATTTCCCAGCACGACTTTCGGCCCATCGGCCTGCCCAATGGTACTTACTTCAGACACAAGTTTACCGCCTGTAATTACAGCTAGAGGCGCACACGCTCCCTTTCTGCCTCACGCGGGGACTACTATCCCCAGCATGCACCGCGGACCCCGCCTCTAACCCTTCTCACCCCAGCACATGTGACAGCCTCCAACGTGCACCATCTCGGCTGTGGCCGCTCATCACCGTACGTGTAGCGGAGCATCCAAAACAGGACAGCCGTCGGCCTTTACGGCCGGCCACTGCCCCACCTCCCGGCATGCACCGCTCGCCGCGCTACGGGGTGTCGGAAAGACCACATAAGATTAACCCCCTGGCGACTCACTGAGCTTTAATGGGTGCCACTCCCCGTTCCGACGCGCTGACTCCTGAGGCGCCGTCACCACCACTCTCTGCTAGTGCGTCCGCCGCAGCTCCCTCCGCCATCGAGGGTCCTTATACCGGCTCCGAAGTGTGGCAAGAAGATCTTCCGGGTCGCGCGTGTCCTCCCTGGTCGTACGGGGGAGTGCGCATGCCCATGTCGCTCCAATGACGCTACCGTACGAGCGTTTACATCGAGGGGCGGAGCCTTCACGGGGCGGGGCCTCGGGGAGTATTTAAGTCCGAGAGGGCGCGGGACCGGAAATGTTCTGGTGTCCCCGCGGGTTTTGAAAGTGTGAGTTCCATGGGGGCCTGTAGTTCACAATGTCCTATTTTGTACTTTATAATCGCTTGAAGGCTCCAAACACATAGTCAAGAGTTGGAAACTAAGGATCCATATTTGATCATTACACAGTCTACATGTATCAAATCGTCACTCCCTACTCTATAAATCTGTGAGAGTAAAATAATTACTGCCAGGTGTGGTGGTACACATGTGTAATCCCAGCACTCAGGAGGCTGAGGCAGGAGGATGGAGAGGTCGAGGCCACCCTGGACTACACAAGCAAAACCCTTCTCAAAACAATAAGATACAATAATTACTTTAAAATGTAAACCCCACTACTTTTATGTGGCTTGAATAATTAGTTGAGCATCTATGTGCTAGACAGCGGGCACACAGTGGTGAACAAAACAAAGCCCCCTGAGACTGTGGGGAAGACAGACACATGAAACCCTATTAGAGGGTAGTGATACAACAGCTACTTAGAAACTGCTTTTGCTAGCTGGGTGTGGTGTTTTACAGCTATAATCCCAGCTAATCTGGTGAGGGAGATTGGGAGGATCACAATCATCTCACTGTCCAGGGTGGCCCAGGCATAAAAGCAAAGACCCAGCTGGGCGTGGTGGCTCAACCTGTAATCCTAGCTACTCAGGAGGCAGAGTTCACGAAGATCGAGGTTCAAAGTCAGCCCATGCAAATAGTTCTCAAAACCCTATCTCGAAAAAAACCATCACAAAAAAAGGGCTGGTGCAGTGGCTCAAGCCACTGAGTTCAAGAAAAAAGCAAGACCCTCTTCAGAAAACTAACCAAAGCAAAAAAATGTGGGGCCTTGGCTGAAGTGGTAGAGCCTGGCAAGCGAGAAGCCCTGGGTTCAAACCCCAGTACCGCCAAAAAAAATTTTTAAAGCTGGAAAAACAAAAAAACATGGAAGAAACTTTTTCCTAAAAGCACTGACTCCTCACCTGGAAGGACAGGATGGATGGATAATATCTTTATGACAAGGGACTGAAACTACCCCCAAGGAACAGCAGAGCTTGGCAGGACAGACCACCCCCCAAATGACAATTGACAATTACTTATAATGATGAGGCCACACCCTGGGGCAGGAGTGACCTCATGGGAACCAGTTTGCTCCTTCAAGTGATGACAGCAATAACAACTTCCTAGGAGCTTCTTGCAGAACCAGGACTAAGCTAATGGCCAACCAGGCCATATTTGGTCTGGGACTGCTTATTTATGCATGCCTCTCGCCCCACCCCAATTCTTCCTCTATTGAAATGTAAAGCTCCTGTCTGCACCCCAAAGACTGGCAGAAGTGCTTACTTTCCCTCTTGTCACATCAGCAGGTGCCTGATCTCCTTTCTCTGCCCTTCCCCACTACTCATCTCTTTGATTGGCACATTGGAGCCAGTGATTGGACCAGACATGGAGCCTCTGGAGTTGGGCTTGGCCTAGGAGTCCGGTTACAATGAAGCAAGGAAGGAGAATTAGGGACACCACTTCTGGTGGGTTCAATTTTTTTTTGATTTTGGCAGTACTGGGATTTGAACTCAGAGCCTTGTGCTTGCTGGGCAGGTGCTCTACCACTTGAGCCACTCCACAAGCCCCTGGGGGGTTCGTATTTTAATACTATGATCAAGAAAGACCTCATTGACAAGGTGATATTTGAGTATACTTACAAGAAGTGAGAAGCATAAGACTATCAAAGGAGAAAGTATTGCAGGCAGAGAGCACAGCTCATGCAAAGGCTCTGGGGCTGACAAGCCTGATGTGATGGAGGAACAGCAGAGGACTGTGTGGCTAGAGCAGAGGGAGGAGGGGAGTAGGGAAGGGATGGGGCAGGTCAGGCAGGGCCCTTTGGGCTGCAAGGAGGACTTGAACTTTGACCCCAAGAGAGGTAGGTGTCATGGAGTGCTGTGGGTAGAGGAAGGCAGGCTCTAGGAACCATTTGCCAGAGTCCCCACCATGCCCTGTTGTGCTCCCTAAAGCTCCTCGTTCTTAGAGGAAGCTTGCTGCACACTGGGAGTTCAGGGCTGTGGACTCAGCAGGGTTTGGATCCCAGCCCCCCACCTGCCAGCTGAGAACATCAGACACTCCATGTCTGCTCCTTGCCCCTGTAATGGGATTGATCTACATGCCTCCTTTAGAAGGTAAGGGTCAATAAGTGACCATCAAAAATTAATGAAACAGCTCTCAGTATGCCATTTATAGTCTTCGAATGACGGTCTGTAACTCCTTGCTCAACAGGAACATTTGATCCCTCGGCTGCCCTCACATTTCACTTAGAACTTGACAAAGTGTTTCCAGGGGAGAGAATATGGAGGAAGACACTGTGCACCTCATATAACAGATGGGGGAAACTGAGGCCCAAAGAGGGAAGGGGTTTCCTGGCGCCCACAAGAGCCTGAGCACCAACTTTTCAGAACAATTTGTCTCCCACCTCTGCCCTTGGTTGCCCCCTGCAGGACGAGTGTGGAATGAAACAGTGGGACCTGGAAATCCACTACCTAAAGACACACAGGGCTCTCCCTGCCCCTGTGTGTCCCTCCCTCTGAGAGTCCATGTCTCCCACGCTGCTTCCTGGGAACCCCAGACAGCTCTGGGCGAAACAGGCTCATAGAATCTGACCTCAGGAGCAAGACCTCCCCTCAGGGCTGCCTGGCTTGACAATGATTACATAATATGAATATTCATGATCTCACATGGACTGTGTACTCTGACGCATATCATTTATTACAATATGATATAATATAATTCTGACTGTTTGCCAGGAGCTAAACAATCATTGAGCACTTACTGTGTACCAGGACCCCCTCCTAACCCTTGTCACTGGCAACCTCCTTCATTTGTGGTTCTGACTTTGAATGAGGGGGTGTCAAGCCTTCACCTCCAACTCCACCTGAGTCCACAGCCTGCAGAGGGTCCCTGCTTTTTTGGTCTCAACAGCCAGACGCCTCAGACTCTAGGAGACCCTGTGCTGCCAGGCTGATGTGGTCTCTACGACTTTCTCCTGTTTCTGTGCCCCAGGCCTCGCAGCTTCTCCCTTCCTGCCTATTTCCCTAACAGCCTATTGGTTCCCATGTACTGCTTCCTTTCCTACAGAGCCTCAAGTTCATCCCCTGCTCTTCCTTCTCCCCATTCACATCAATCCCCCTGCCCCCCACAGACCCCAATCTCCCTTCCTGATCCAATAGCACATATCTTACCACAGCCCTCTCTGCTCCCAATCCTTCCATGGCTCCCTACTGCCTCAGCCCTGTACCTGCGGCCCCAAGTTCCAGCATGACCCAGCCCTGCTGCCTTCCCCAGTTTCACCCCTCTTTACCCTCTCACTCTATAAATTCAAGCATCACATTCATTTCAGACTTTCCATGAACCACTCTTACCTCCTGGCTTTTGCATCTGCTGTTTCCTCTCCTAAGAACTCTGTTCCCTGCCACTTTGCTCATTACATGCACCCTTGCAGACCACTCCTTTCTCCTTGGAAGTTTCCCTGACTGTCTGTGTCCCCCCCCCCCGGATTTCTGTGGCTGCCCAGCCAGATGCTCACTTCCCCCACTGGACCATGAGCTCTGAGAGGGTGGGAATCAATCCAGTCTGCTTTGGTCACTCTGTGTCTCCAGCACCCAACATCAGGCCTGACACAAGACTCCACGGACACTTGTGGAGTGAATGCATCTTATGTGTCTGGGGAGACTGAAGCATGAAGGAGCACGAGCCTGCCTAAGGCTCCCAACTTAACCGAGGCTTTGGCACAGGGCTGAGGGCTTCCTGAGAACCTCTGGTTCCCTCTGGAGCGGGTAGAGGCATTGAGGAAGATGTCCCATCACATTGGACCAGGTGCTGCTGGCTCTCTGTTCTCTTTCTCCCTGCCTCTGTCTCTCTCTTCCTTTTCCTGTCCCAATAATTCATTTTGCCTCTTTTTCCACCTCTCTCCCTCCCTCTCCTTCTCTCTCTCTCTCTACTCTTACTCTCTCTCTCTCTCTCTCTCTCTCTCTCTCTCTCTCTCTCTCTCTCCCCCTCCTTCTCTCCTCTCCTGTCGTCTCTCCTTCTCCATGGCTTGCTGACTCCCGTGTCTCCCACCTTGCCTCCTCAGCCAGGCCGGATGAGAGTGGCAAGAGCCAGGCAGGTGCAGGCCGGGCTTGGTGCCCGTGACTGCTGCAGCCGGCCCGGATTTGTGGCTGCGACTTCTTTATCTGCGGCTGCAGCTGCCCCTTATCTCCTGGCTTCAAGACAGGAGGCCGGGATTAGGGCAGCCGGGGCCAAGGACACGAGGTGGCAGGGCCGGCGGGTGTCGGGGCGGGTGGCAGTGACAGCGGGCGGCGGGAGTGAGCGTGTGCGCGCGGGGGCTTCCGCTGTGTCAGCCGCTGCTGACGATGCAGGACTTGGGGGAGTTCGTGCGCGTGGTTGTGCGTCGGTGCGAGTGCGCATAGATGTGTGTGTCGTGGACGTGCGTGGGTGACAACACACGCGCCTGTGGCTGCAGCCCTTGGGCGCCCTGCCGTGCGCGCGTGCGCGTTGCGCCCCTGCGCAAGCCCCTCCCCAGCTACGCCCCCAGGCGCGCGCACAAACTCCGGCCCCGCCCCCAGCCCAGGTGGCCGGCCTGATGGGTTTCCCACCTTGCTGACCCAAGACCCCCAGGGACGGGGCGTTGACCTGCGACCCCAGGCTGTGAATGGCTCTGCGGGGATGGCCACCAGCCCTGGTTTTACCATCTTCGCCTGGGCCCGCAGCTCCTTCCTGCCGCCCACAGACCTCCAGGACCCATCCTGGCCAGGCCTGCTCCTCCTCCGGCTCCTGGGACCCTGCTCGGGCCCAGCCTGACCCCCAGGCCGTCCTCG